ACAGAAAAACGCATTTGGGCGGCCGGGGCGGCCAGAAGCACGGACTGCGCGCACCCGAATGGGAAGACACTCCTCGCAATTTGTTTTCAGAGCCACGGTATGCCGGCTGCCGGCCAAATAGTCACTTTAATTCTATTATGGCTTTCGAAACGTAAATACACGCTCGAGAATTTTCAACAATATCACGCGAGCGCCGACCGGCCTGTAGATCAGCGCATCGTCACGGCGCGAAGTAGCGATATCAATGACAGTACGCGCGTGCGCAGAAGAAACGCGCCGAAGTCGGCGTCGGCTGCTAAGCTGTTTCCCCAATCACGACCCACCCCTGGCGCGACGCCCACCGCTTGCTCCACCCCATAAGCAGGGGACCTAGTAATCAAAGCGACACACACGGTACGCAAACACGAACAGCAGCCAGTAGGAAGGACACCGACACGAGCTTAGTCAGCGAACGAAAAGACAGACACAAACTTCACTCTAGGCAAACAGAGCAGGGGTAGTTACAAGGATGAGAGGCGTGCGCAGACGGAGGTAAGCAGTGCACAATAAATACGCGAAAACTCGCAGCAACCGAAGAACCACGCAGCAAACACGTACGTGCACACGCACCAGAAGCACGTGCTTCACGCTGCGTATCTACGCGGAACTGGCGATTTTGGCATTTCGGTAATTTGAAACTTCGATATCGATTGCGTGAACAATTTATTCAGCAAACTGAACCGGTGGAGCCTTGCATAAAAAAAAAAAATCGTCTGACAATATGAAAGCGACTGAAATTCTTCCTAAAAGCTATATTAGCAGAAAGTACCGTGTTATAAAGGACCTCACGAGTTTCGACCAAGTTTTCCAGCACGTTATTTTGCAAGAAACGGAAGAAGCCAAGTGTACAACCAGTTTCCGAAGCTGGCAACCACAGCTGGAATCAGCGCCATCCTCGGCAGTTTCCTGAACCTCGCGTAGTCACATTTCAGCCACCGCCACATAGGGGGCGCAACCAGACATCCAATTTGTGTTTTCTGTATGTTTTATGATTTTTTTTAATAAATAGGCTCGATTAGTGAAAATGTGGGCTAATAACCAGGACCTGGAACAGTAATCTCCATTTAATACTAAAAATATCGACCTAAATGTCTGCCAAAAAGGGTCAAAATACTCGGTTTTGACTATCAACAAATTCGTGAGTTCGCCTATATTCAAACTTTTTTTATGGAAACTCAAAAATGAAATTAAGAAAAAGGGCCTCTAATGACAAAGCAGAATATGTTTTTCTTTGCAGGTCTACAATTTTATTCAAATGTGCCAATCCCTATGCGCTGTACCACTGTACTACCAAATGAAGTTTGCCAAAAAAAACTGTTTTTGTCACTTTTCACATGAGCATTCCGAAAAAAGTTTAGGCCATATTACAATGAAATTTAGCGTAGCTCTTTCTACCATAGTTGCAAACACATGTAAAAAGTTTCAAATAAAATGACCGAGTAGGCGGCCAAAAATCCGCGACTGAATGTGCTTCCGCGAGGTACATTTTTTAAAGTAAATATCTATCAAAATAAAATGAAAAACGAAAAAAGGGCCTCTAATGACAAGGAACGCACTCTTCTTCTATAACATTCTAAAATTTTAAATAAATTGCTCCAATTGTGCACCCTGTACCACTGTACTACGAAACCATGTTTTGCCAAAAAGGCCAATGTTCGCGGGTGCCCACTGAATTAGCGTTTTGCACAAGGAAAACAAATCCTACATCAGAGGAAAGATAATGTTGTACAGGACAAGATGTGATAAAACACATAAATTTAGAAAGCTTGAACACGCCACAATCGCATTTCGAAAACGTGCGGAAAGCGTCATATGTCATGGCCGGCCGCCGTGGGACCGCAGCCTCAACACGTGCCCCAGTGATAAATGCACAACAAAATGTTCCTACAGCGTGCAATTTGTGTGCCGATGAAACTTCACAGCACGGTGTGGCAGTATCAATGAAACAATCAGTGTCGATGAAACGAGTCCTAAAAAGTTGATGAAACGTGTCGATGAAACGACAGGGACCCTTCTTTCCGATGGTTCCATAGAGGCTCTGACAATGAGAACTGCAAAGTTGCCTCCAAGAAGCTCAATATGTTTTTTACACGAGTCTGTCTTTGCCAAGGTAGATCAGAAAGATGATAGACTCTGAAGAGCTCGTTCGCAGCTACGGCCTTGTATAAAGCAAAGATAAACATACATCAGAAATGTAATTAGGCGGTTTGAGCTGTTGCTTGATTCAAACATTGTTGATTTTATTGTTATAAAGACAAATCATTCTGCCACCTGCATTCGGACCAAGATCAGGACATCTGAGTATTCGGTATGTTTTCAATTTTTGATTTAAACAAATATTTCGCATATAAGAAAGCCACAATTCATGAAGCGAGAAACTGCCCTTGCAGTCAATTTTTATTGACATACTTTTCATCTTTTACAAATTATTAAACCAATGCTGCGATCCAATATTGTGGACACATTTTCCTTCTAAAGTAAATTGTACAAGTTGGTGCGTGTTTACCGGCAATACCTCAGGCTGCGACGCGACACGAGTGGAGGCACACGCGTCACGTACCCGAGTTTCGAAGCATAAACATACGACTGACAGGGCCTCTGAGAGCAAGCAGAATGTTCGGAAGCACTTGAGGGAACCAAATCTGCTTCCCTCAAATTCTCTGGTATTTTTTCCAAAAGAAGACATCAGCTTCTTAACGTCCAAAACAATATCGATTAAATGTTTGTAACATGCGCATCACTGGCTTTATCATTTGTATGCCACATGTATGTAACAGCTCATTGTTGCGAACAAGGGTGCACTCGCGGCTACTATCGCAGTCATAGATTACCGTGCAGCTGACTGCGACGCGGAAACTTGACAAGGACGCCACGTTTCACAGATGAATACATACTGCTTCGAAGGCATCATTTCAGTAGACAGACTATTTATTAACCCCAGCAGAGATACGGTCAAAATCGGGTGAAGGCACTTACTGTGTTCGCGGTTCACTTATGCTCCTCCCGCACAGCCCAGTACAGTGTAGACCGCATATAACGTATGTCGCGGGAGTCGCAAAAATCCGCACTATAAGCGGTACCGCGTTATAACCAAAACATAAATTTTTCAGGCCAAAATACATGCCATAAAACAACTTACCTTTGTAAAATAATTTATTTTATGTTATATGAAAAATAAAGCTTAGTTTGAGGAAAGTCTTTATTTCACCAGACTAGTACACTTCTCTCTCAAGTGTGTCACACATTTTTAAAGAAATGAGCGACTCTTGCCTGGCGCAGCCTTTTAACGGCGTCGCGGGTAGCGGACGGACGTTGCGAGCGTTCAGGATTGCTAACCCTAATCACTTTTCTCCGGAGATGAAAACGCGTGAAAATTCGCATCCTTTATACGGTACGCGCCAGTAATACCTTCAACTTTAGCACAAGCATGAAATGCTCCAAATAAGAAATCCGGGCGATGTTCGAAAACACAAATGCTTAGAAAGCATCACTGTAATCGAAGTAAACAAACACGACGACACGGGCGTTTCTGCCGTCTTGAGAGTGCCGCCACAACATCGCCGCACGAGTAGGTGGATTTTCCCTTCTACGTAGTACGTGCTGGGTTATCATAGTGACACACAACGAAAATTCACAGTCAAGGATAGCGCTTTTACGCGGAACGATGAGCTTTCACCACGCCGTCTACGTCGACAATCACAACCGACGCCATGTTTGCGGATAGAAGAAGCCGGCCCGCGACCGGCATGCAACGCGTGCGAACACTTCTCCTCGACCTGCGATTGGTCTGTCGTTGCGGTTGTCTCCAACGCAGCGGAGGGACGCACGCATGTAAACGACATGTGCGTGCGTCCCTCCGTCGCTATGGCAACTGAAGCCTCTTTCTTCGCTTCTCCCCGCTTCTTCGAGCAATTTCCTTGCCCCGCGAGTGTCGCACAGGGAAGCGTGCTCGCTGCGCTAGTTGGTCGGCGCGGTCGGCGGGCTGTTCCAGAAACTGCACTATAACCGGTATTTCCCTTCGCGCGCCTGCATTTTAAGCGGTATGTGATTACATGGAGTTCTATGGGTGGCGAACCGGCGGTTTAAAAAAGCCGCGTTATACCTGGTTCTGCACTATAAGCGGTTACGTTGTAAGTGGTCTATACTGTACACTCATAAAGAAGAGTTTGGTGACCGCTGCATTTTAAAGTCGCTCCACGGACACCACTGCAAAAAAAATCCGATGGCAGTCACGATGTTGAGGCACAACCTGAGGCAGAGAAGCAGACGGCGTTCAACGTATGTTTGATGCTAGGCCTTACTCCCGCATCAAAATTTTCTATGCAATGCTATCGCTGGATTCTCACGCTGTCGCGCAAAACCTATTGTGAATAAAAGTGGACGCGGTTACGATTTAGCGACGTATGCTCGGGTAAGTGAAAAACCGCATTAAAAAACAGAATAATTGCTGCAAAATACTGGAGTCGTAGAAAATCTGCCCGGCAGCCATGTTGGAAATATTCATTTGCCAAAACAAGATTGGTTCGGGCAGGTCGTGAGGTCACGAAAACAACGAGACGCGATTGGTGGCAGAGGAATACAAGATTCCCTTTGAGGGGCATTTGCCGCTACCTTCTTGACTTGTAACCGACTTTAGTCAACGAGCTTCCCAGAACGCCCGAGGCCTTTTCGCGGTGCGTCTGGTCAATGGCCGGTGGCGCTCGCTAAGCCCACCCTAAGGATAGAACTGGCGGAACGTCGGATGTGCAGTGCCCACGGTGAAAAGTGATTCTATCGTTTATGTTAAACGCCAAGTCTGCGCAAAAAGAGTGTCGTTCAAAAACGGTCTTTCTTTGCCGCCCACCAAGGCATTTCTGACGGTGCCCCGAGGAAAGCTAGCCGCCTCCGCAGCGGCGGGTAGCATATGGACAAGCTTTCGTGGAGCTCGTCAACATCTAAGAGGGTTCTTTGGGGGCACCCACCCCTGTCCTCCTGCAGGCGGGTGGCCCCCAGGCGCTGGCGGTGGGCGGCGTGGAGCACCTCGTCCCTCCGGGCCCCCTGCACCCCCCGCAGGGCCTCCAGCCAGAGCTCCAGGCCACGCCCCACCTCCGGGTGCACCTGGCAGCCTCGCAGCTGCTCCATCTTGGCCACCAGCGTGATCACCTGGGACAGTCACCCCTCATCAATCTCCTCCCTTGCCCAGTCTATGGGGCAGACCCCATTCAAGATTGTACGGTACGGCAAGGTTTGCATTACGTCTCCGGCCGGCACGCTTAGCGCCCTATCCCGCCCATACGTCCAAAATAGTTTCAAAGCGGCAACAAATGACGTCGCGAGAGTCGGCGTGTCACGCTGTCGGACGTCGTGCTCCCGACGGCTTGGCATAGGCGTCCCCGCAAAGAGTTTGAGCGAATGCGAGCGTCGGACTGCTCGAGCTTCTGTGGACTGTCGAGAGCGACCCGCGGTGGAACGGGCGTCGCCCCACATCTGCTGCTGCCACGCCGCCTGGATTGTGGCTGGCGACAGCGCTCGTACGACCTCGTCGAGTGGGTTTAAGGGTGCGGTAAATGTGCCCGTTGGAGACGCATTGCAGGCACCCAACCCGTAACTGCTCTTTGCGGTGTAGAACAAGCACAGTCTTGGCCGTGTTAGTGTTGCCAGTACCGGTCTCGTGGAGACTGGACTAGACAGTCAGGTCTGGTCAAGAGCCACACCACCGGATAAGTCTCATGTGACGCCACCAAATGTGCGAAGGTCTGGCTATTCGCGGCTCACCGACACACTAATAGCTTCCTCCAAATATACTACAATTGAACCTCAATTCAACGTAACTCTGTTTTACAAATTTTCTGACTTACACACAAATTTGGATGCCCCGCGCAGCCTATGCAGTCTCCTTTCCTTGATTTTACGAAGTTCCCAATGTAACAAAATCATTAGCAAGTTCCAGTGACTTCGTTGCATCAAGGTTCCACTGAATGTGGTGCAAACGACTCTTTTTTCTTTAGCTCTATATTTGGCGAATTAGGCTCAAGCTAGGGTTTCAAGATAGTTTGCTTGCACGTCTATTAAATGTTTCGACGCGAAAGATACGGGGGATACTCCCCTGATGCTGCTCTCGGGTTCAGTTCCAGGGAAACAGTGGTTGGCCCGCAGCAAAGGGAGCCGTATTATCTTGTACCCTAGAAAAGTGTTTCTCAAAGGCCGACACAAAAGGGGCTGGACGACGAGTCGCCAAAGAGCGGGGAAAGCGGGCAAAGAAGAGACCAAAAGGAAGTGGAGATGTTCTCTTCCCAAGTATGGCTGCCGTCTGGTCCTGGAGTGTATGAGGAAGTCGCAGAGGGGGCCACATGAAACTGCCCTAGGTTGCCGGCCCCTGGACTAAATGAGCCAAGCAATAAAAGAGTTCTCACGTGTCCCAGTGTGTTCTCAATGGCTTCTAGTTGCGAGCCCATTTTTACCGCGGGTTTTCTCGGAGAAAGCACTCATTCTCGTCATTGTGTTGTCACTGTGCGGAGAGTGAAATGTTGCCACTTTTGCTTTCTGCAGCGAGACTGCTTTGTCAGGGATCATTTGCAAGATTATAAAGACAATTTATGCGATTTATAGTCAAATTGGAAACTTGCAACTTAATCAATGAGACTTTGCAAATGACCCCAATCATAGTAAGAGGGCCCCTCAGCGACGCAAAGTTTGGGAAATGCTGCCCTAGAAGCAGAAATGATTTGAGGGAACAAACTGCTTGTGACTAGTGATGAGCAAATTGCACCCTCCCCAATGCCAAGATGAGAAGGACCTCCGTTCCAACCCAGTGGCACAGACCAGAAAAAGGGCCTCAATTTCTAGGACCGGCCCGAGAAGACCCGAGCCCAGCCCGACCGGTTTTCCAAGTCTAAGTACGGCCCAAGCCCATAATATATTTTTTATATATTAGAATGAATACGAATGATTAACATCATTCATTAAAGGGACACTGATAGGGTATTTATGCTCACTGACGTTTTGATTTGTACATGACACATGAGAGCCCAACCAGCCGTATGCAGCTCTGAGGTTCCACGGGTGGCCAAAGTGTGGCGCCAAATGAAGCTTCCGTACGTCTATCCACAAGTCTTCGTACATCCATTCATTCGTTCCAACCCAGACGTGGTTCTCAGTCTTACCGCCGCAGTTTTGAGCGTCGTGTCGCATAGGTTATCTTCACCACCATATAATATCAGTCTGCGCGCTTTTAGCCAATCATGGGCGTTCAGGGAGAGATCCGTTATCGACCGTCATTTTTGTTTGATCTTTCAAAGCGCGTGCAGGTGAGTCGGGCGAGTGACGTGCTGCGGGCGCGAAACGCTCGAGCGCAACCGAAACCTTCGGTGGTGGGGGTCTGCGCGTTAGATGGTTCTTTCAGCTTCCAGTTCGGCGGGATTGCTGCTGTCTATGGATATTACTGTGCAGCAAAGTGGTGCCAGCATACAACAAAATCCGCTGACTGCAGTTTTTTTTTTCGTTTTGCGACGGACGACAGGTGAGCCTACAAACTTCGTACGCGCGATACTGAAAGAAGTGAACGCGTTAAGTTATGCGCGCTATTTTTATTCTTTTCCGCTTACTTTTTTAAATAGAGCCAGTAAATGGATCTGCTATGCAAATTGCCCAAAGTTCAGGTTGCTGCCGTTGAGCAAACTCCGCGAACGTGGTCTCTGCGGCGAACGGCTTGTTTGCTTCTTGCTCGAGGTGTGAGTTTTTTTTTTATTGGCTGTGTGGCAACTTGGTGCATATATTCGTTACTTAAAATCCTGTCAATACTTCCCTGCATATTGTATATTGTCCTTTTAAGGTTGCTCATACATTGTGTAAAAAAGAATTTGAATGCTGTGCACTGGAGTTTTAGTCTGCGTTTTTGTGTGATGACTAGTACGGCATTATGGGGTATAAAAGTAATTTATAATTTCTTGTAAATATTTTATTGAATGTCATGGGTAAGAGCTTAAATAAATGAGATGTGCTATTTGTGAAAACTGCTTGTTTAAGACGTATGTAGTAATAAAGTAAATATGTAAAATGTGTAAATGCTAATTGGAAGATGGCAAGATGCCAGTGAACGCAATTATGTCTATATGATGTCACATGTTACGTGTTTGTATATCTATGCTCTTGATCTCGCCATAAAGCTGACTTATTCATTGTTTATGTATTCCTGTAAACTTTCTCTCAATTCTGTAAATAGCTAGGCATTTTTAGAACGTGAAATGACTTCAAATAAAACGCGTCTTATTCAATCTTCCGGTTTTGTGACGTTTCCTTGGCGAGGTTGTGTGCAGTGTACGCGTGCTTGTTGTTAGGCATCGATAAAAAAACAGCAAGCACAGATGTCCGTATCAAGCGACGTCTGTGTTTACAGTGTGAAAAAGCAATGCTTTAACACAGACGCACGAGCGCGCGCCGCACGCCAAATCTCAACACGCATCTCCACCCATCATCGTACACGCACGCGCGATAAACACACGCCGAAGAATGGATAGTTGGGCGAGTTGGTGGAAATTCATCGTAGGAAACAGCGCGAAAAACAAACGAGGACGAAGAAAAAACACACGGGACGAGCGCTCGTCCCGTGTGTTTCTTCTTCGTCCTCGTCTGATTTTCGCGCTGTTTCCTACGGTGAAACACACGCATACATAAAAAAACAAAAAGAATGGTCGAAAAAAGAGAAAAAAAAAAAAAGACAGGAGGGAAGGGGAGAGGATAAAGAGAAAGGTGAGCACGTTGATGATGATGATAGCTGTTCGCTTTAGTGGCGCCGTGGAGCCATCTGCAAGTAGTTTACAACCCAGACCTAGTTCGCGAGACTGCCGCAGCGCCTAGCGGCGCTAGTTTCGCCGTACCATGGTGGAAGCTACGGCTGCACCCGGCTGGCCCAACTACCCAGAACCCAATTTGCAGCTCGAAATTCATTTTCTTTCTGCCCGAAAACTTCCAATTGAGAACTGGCCGGTTGGAGTCGCGTTCACTCTCTTCTCCGTGGTCACGTGCCGTTTTCTAAGGTTGAGACACAACCACCAAAGATAATCAATGCCGTGGGTCACTGAAGGAACACACTCAATAAGAAAAATACTAGACAATAAATATGATACCCATTTTTTGTGGCTTCTAAAAAGCTGTAAATACGTCGATTAAAAAAAAAAAGTTGAGCAGCCACATGACTTTTAGTAACTTTTTTCTCTATATTTATTTCTTCTTCCTCCCCTGTCCAGTTTCGGTTTCGAGCAGTTGCGTTTTTTTACTTTATTAAAAATATATGCGACGCTATAGCAAAATATTGATTGGGTAGTCTTCCGACACGGTACCATAATAAACTGCCCGGCAAAAGATTTTAAAAAATTTTGGGGGGGGGGGGGGTCAGCTCCCCTCTAACCAAAATTTTAAAGACTTGGACAATTCCCCAATTGCTCGGGTTTTTCCCCTTTGCCCCCCAGTTTCCTCGCACAGGGCGTATTGGAGAGGAGGGCAAAGCAAACTATACTACAGCATATAATACAATCCAAAATGTATCAAATTAAGCAAAGCTCTGCGATTCAACACGCTTTGCAATTGCACATTTGCGAAGGCAACGCACATAAGCCACACATCCTTCAATCCTGCGGGGGAGGGCCTCAGCCACTTGGGGGCAGGAGCACTGGCCAAAGATGCGCTCCGATAAGAAACCTAGAAATGCGTCCACATTGAATGTTTTTTGAAACGTCATAAGATGCTGTACCTACCTTATATCTTTCCAGAATTAGCCGATTAAGTGGTTTCTGGTGATACTTAGAAAGTTTTTAAATGAAACCGTACGTAACTAAAAAAAGCAATCAGCAAATTGTAGTTAATTATTCGACTACGGTAGACTCCCGTTAAGGCAAACTCGCTTAAGCGGAATTCTCGGATATGCTGAACAAAGTAAGAACATTTGGTTGGTTTCCCATAGATGCAATGCAAAAAGAAATCGTTTAACACAAACTGCTTTGCGTGCACATTTGGGTTAACTCGAACTTCCATAGGTCCCCTTCGCAATGCCACTGCACCGACAGCGACGCCGCGCATTGCACCGGCTGAGGTGTATGTCAGATGTACCGTTAAAACCCGCGTATAATACGAGGTTTTTCCAAATTTTCAGCTTCAATGAGGCACGATCTAACGCTGTTTGACGTAGTTTCGGCTTCAAAGAAATATGGCGCTCAAAACAGTTATCATCATCATTAAAATCGCAATGTCCGAAGCGCCACCATTCGTACACAGTCAGGCTCGGCAATGGCGTCGGCGCGAAGACAATCATCGGTCGCCTACAAAAGAAAAGTTCTTTCGGTTGCGGAAGACATCAGTAACAGTGCTGCCGGACGACAATTCCCCGTAAATGAGGGCAGCATCTGCGTATTGAGACGACACAAGCAAGCTCTGTTCGCGTGCAACGGCACGAGAAGAAGCTCTAGAGGCCCAAAGAATGGCCTGTTCGCCGACATCCAGGCAAGTCTCAGTGACTTTGTAAAAAAGCAGCATGAACGGCACCTCGCCGTAAACATCGAGCTGCTGCATGAGAACATTGGCGAGCCGACATTGGGTTGCTCGCTTTATGCGCCGCGCCAGGTTTTCACTGCGTCGGCGCACGCTCGACGTTCGCTCTTTCAAGAAGTGTGGGATTTCAAATGCGCTCGACGGCACTGAAGATGACTGCCTTTGGGAGGAGGCGTCGGACAAGGAGTCTGATGGACGTGATGAGAGCGATTAAAGTTCAATTATGACATGTGGCCCGTGTTTTATCAGGAACACGGGCCACATGTCGTCTTTCATCGCTAGACACCAATTTGCACAGAGAAGGAGGCACTCAAAAATCACCGAATGGATCCAGGGTGTCTACCAAATTGTTTTTCTAAAATTCCTCACTTTTCCAGGTTTTCCCTGACTATTTTAATTGAATTCCCTGACCCACAACTACCGACACCAAAACACAATATATGATAGATAGACACTATTCACAACGTAATATATTTTATTAAAGTTAGATAAACAAACTTTGGAAGATGTTTAGAATACAGCATTGACCCGGGTTTACTGTTTCAGGGAGTTTGGTTTCAGTACCTGATGAGTACATCCATTTGTTCTCTTTCAGTTACTTTGTTCAGTGACTCATCAAAAGCAACTACCAGATATTGCACGCTAGAGAGGCTTGCTAGCAACTTCCCACTTTGTCTTTTCCAAGCTGCATTTTTCTGGCGGTCTCACACATGGGGAACATCAACGGAAACAGCGAGGCAGACGCTGCCGCTGAACGGAAAGACCCATGAGTAGTTATAGTGTTCAAGCACCACATGATCCCCGGCCTTTGTGACTTCCTTCTTCAATAAAAAAAAAAGCCACCACCCACGTCTTCACAGAGGGGCTAAGAGATTCCGTGGCAGTAGTTAGACGCATTGCCGGAGCCCTACAAGCAATATTGCTACCTCCGGACAAAAAGCACCTGTTGCTGTTGCGGAAGGCAAGTCCGCATTTGTCCAGTCTTGTGTAGTAACGCGTTACTGGAATTTTGTTACTTTTTTGGTAACTTGTAACTGTAACGAGTTACTTTTTAAAAATGTAATTTGTCACTGTAGTTCTATTACTTTTTTCTAAGGTAACGATGAAAGTAATGACATTACTTTTGTCATTACTTTCCAGATTTTTATGAATAATATATAATTGAATGAGTACAATCTAGCTATTCCTTTCACTTTCCAAATTGTCTGGTCCGATATTTCGAGTGTCAAGTTGGCTTTGCACAAACTTGTGAATACGTGCTCTTTCTCGCAAGTCATATCCTGAATGTAGCCACGTGTAAATTTGATGAAAAAAAAATGTAGTTATCTTTACGCACGCGCTTGTACTGTACAAGCGCGTGCGTAAATATAACTACATTTTTGACTGAACACTTACATCTTAGTATCTGAAGTACTGCCTATGTTGCGATGTGCTTTTTCTTGCACAAACGCTTTTTAATCGGATGAATCAACCGTGAATAACTATACACGCAGAGGGCACTGCGCATATTTGGTACTTTGATTAGCGCCACTACTCCGCAACGTGCATGTTTCGTATTTTGATTTTGCGCCACTACACCTGCGTGGTGTCAACAGTTGAGGCAAAATTTACTGCTGTTTGCACGGGCTTTGCTTCTGGCTTGCCAGGTACGAACTGAAATATGTCCAGGGACTCTATGAACCCAGCGCAACCGTCAACGAGCCAGCAATGTGCTAGCAGGGGCTGATCCAGAACTCCTTTTTTTTTGGGGGGGGGGGGGGAGGGGCGGAAAATTTGCAAGGATACTATTCTCCCATTCTTTCGTGTGCACAGGGTGGTCCACCCATGTTAAATTGCCCTCCGAGAAGGGGGAAGGGGAGGGGGGGGGGGGTTGACTTTGTTTAGGAAGGGGGGGGGGGCCGCCCCAGTCGCCCCCCCCCCCCCCCCCCTTGAATCCAATCCGCCCCTGTGTGCTAGTGCTACCAAAGATAGGGCATTTCTATTGGGTGCGCGTTTGCCTCCATGCAATTCCTTCCAGGGCGCCAGTTGGGCGCCTGTTCAGCAAGGGCAGACATGTGTTCGCCATTAAACGAGGGAAGCTTTCACACACCAATTTCGAGAAGCAGCTGCTACTAAGTCACAATATGAAGTAAAAAGCACACTTTTTAATTTCCCGCAAAGAAACTTGGTGAGGGGCGTTTTCTAGTTTTTCCCAATTTTTTGCGTCATAGAAAAGTAACGGAAAAATAACGTCGTTACTTTCTGAAAGTAACTGTAACTGTAACGAGTTACTCTTTTGTTCCGGTAACTGTAACGGTAACTTCGCTACTTTTTTCTGAAAGTAACTGTAACTGTAATTAATTACTTTTTAAAAGTAACTTACCCGAGACTGCATTTGCCGCAGTTTTGAAAAATAGGATTGGGCCCTGGGAAATGCTTTGCAGAAATTTCAAAGCAGCTTGATGTTTCTTACCCTCAACATGAGTAGTAATCACCCTATTCCCCATGTTGCTCAGGGAGAACTTCTTGCAGCACATTGTGCAGTGAGCTCTATTTGGATCATTTGGAATGGGCCGAATCCAACTTGATGTCCGGGTTTGTCCAGTTGAGGTTGAAGGAGCACTTTCGCGACAGCGACATAGTCACTTTCACATATCTCCACTTCCGGAAAATAACACAATAGAGAGCCCAACCCAAAGCCACAAACGCACGTGGCAGAGCTCGTAGAGTGCAGGCGTCCAGGTTGCGTTTACGGGGAAGCGCAAAAGCACCATATCTGACAAACGAATGGATCGCTAGGCGCGCGCCTCTCAGAGGGTAGATGAATGAACGACGGCTGTTCTCTTTCGAGTGAGTGGTGACTCACACCACCTAGTACCTGCTAAAGTAACTGTTTCTCCTCGTACTAGAGCAACACCACCTGACTAGAGTCACAAACTAAACAAAATGACCACAGCTGCTCTGCTTCACTAGTAACTGTGAGTAACTCTTTAGCCACCATACTTTAGCACTGCTACTCTAAAGTGTAGCTTATTTAGTGGCTTTAGAGTGTACTAAAAGAATGAAGAGCCGCCAGCTTCACACAGCGCATAAAAAATTGGACCGGTCGCATCGCGCCTAGGGGGTCGCGACGCCGCACTTGACTGCACTCGTGGCTATGCCTGCCTGTGCCTGCCGCCTCTAGCATAAGTGGGCGAGCATGGGATAAATTCCCTGACTCGGCAATCTTTTTGGAAATTTCCCTGACTTTTCCAGGTGTCTTAAAATTCCCTGACGATTCCCGGTTTCCCCGTCGGTAGACACCCTGGGATCGGTTCCCCCACCAGTGGTGTGTGAGATTTATTTTTTCTTCTTTTGGCATGGTAAGTCAAATAAATGTCCCTTTTTAAGTATCTCTTCATTGTAGGACTTTTCATTCTGTGTTTATTGGTCAACAGCAATTTAGACATGCCCAGCATGATCATTAGGGCACTTGTGTTAAGGCGAACATCTAATAAGTCAAACAAATTTTGAAGGTCCCTTTGTGTTCGTCTTAAAGGGAGTCTACTGTAATTAGTATGTTTTTGCAATCCCCGACGTACGCCGTGGGTGCCAGTTTCTTCCCGGAAAGAGTTTCTTTTTTTCTTAACCCTATATGTAGCGATTTTAAAGACTACAGAAACGTGGTGGGCATAATGTTTGCAGATCACTACCTTTGCACCCAGAAACTGCCCACACATGATGCACATTGTAATACTGGCTCAATGCACGGACCACTGGCGGCAAAATGAAACTTGGGAATTTCAGTAAGCCGTAAAATGGTCACGTCGCCGCCATTCAACGGGGAATAACGTACGACAGGCAGTGTGGCCTTCCAATCCCCTCCAAACGTCCCAGACAGTTCCCTCACTGGGACGAGTCGTGTCAGCCCCTTGCTCGACAGCTTCACCCTTTATCCGCCACACAATCAAAGGCATTGATGCGAGTCAAGTTAGTGCAACTAAAGTCAGTGAAAGAGTGAGAACGGCGGGGCGCGTCCTTCAAACGCTCTGTGCCTTCCGCCGCGCTTTGGCCGCGCACTCGAGGTGTACGAGACGCCGTATCATTGTCCAAGGTAGGAACCTGGAGGCGGGGAAAACTCAAGGTCCTTCCTCCCTGCCCTTCCAACCTCGTCGACTGCCGCTTGGCCGTAGTGACGGGCAGACAAACCACCATCTCAGTAAGCACACTCCATCCTTTGCTGTACCTTGGCATGCTCCCTGAGCTGGTCCACAATGAGGCGGTCCACCCTCGATGGATTCTGGGGCAGCCGGGGCACGGGAATGTTGTTTGCGCTCGACACCCGCTTGCCCGGGTTGTGCCGCGCCAGCTCCGCCTCCGCCTGAAACAACCGGTTGCCCCCGTCAACGCAGACCAACGCCGGGAGGACGCGGCCTAGACACCGTCCTCGATTCATTTTAATACGCCAACTGCTCCACCCTGATGAGCGGCCGTCCTTAGGGATAAGAGAAACTGTCGAAGAAACGCTTCCGTCGATTATAGATTTGCCGCTTTCTCTATGCCCAAAAGCGTGGCGACAGTCACGATCTCAACACCCACGCGCGTTTCTGTGAAGACCAATATCAATTGATCCCGGAATTTGGAGGAACATCCCTTCCTAATAAGGGGAATGTTCAGCACCACCAAAAATAGCCTAGATGCGTTAAAAAGCCTGCCCCCAGTGTTTTGTACGGCCCCCTTTATATCAAGTACAGTAATGTCCCGTTAATATGGACGCCTTTGTTCCCCAGAAAAATCGTCCATAATAACGGCACGTGACAGCCCTTATCAAAAGGGCAAGAGCGTGGGTGGCTTTCGCGTCACCATTGGAGAAGGAGGAACTCATGCACAATTTTGTGTGTCCCAGACCTCGCTTTGGCCCCGTCACTCAAAATTTGCTGAAAAGCGGCATTCTTCTGTGTCCCGCCCGTGTCTTCCACAGCACTGTACGCAGCTAGGGAGTCCCTCTGGCATGCTGAATGGCTCGCTTGGACCGTAGCCTTCGCCAAGGTACGGTGAAACGGAGTATAGCAGAAATTAGCTTTGTGGGTCCCAGAGCTTGTCTCCTGTTCCCCAAACAGTGACAAGGTCTACAATCAGGTGACCTATACAGTAAACTCTCACTTGAGCAAACTTCGGGGGACCCAAGGAAATAGTTCACGTAACTGAAAGTTCACTACACTGAATAGATTCGCTAGAACATGGGACAGCATAGGGCACAGCATACACCGAGTCAAAAGTGTGAAATCGAATTCATGGAGTCACATACATCGATATAGACAAAGTGCATAACAGATACGTTGCTTTCCCATTTTGAAAAAAAAAACAAAAAAAAACAGATCTGTAATTTTTATTTGGAGCAGCGCTCTTAAAGCGCATGAAGTAACACAGCTGTCTGGAAAGTCTGTTTTTTCTAACTTCCTCCAGCACAGCTTATTACTGTGAGGATAACGGCATTTTCCACTGGCTCCAAATATCCCATGCAGAGTCGTTTCCTGTTGGGATGGAACGCAGTTTCTCCTTCGAGCTTCGACTTTTACTTCACTATCGTCGACAATGTCGACGTGGAATCCCGTAGTCCTTCGCAACGTCCACTTGCCCTTGACTGAAGGATTGTGAGCTCGTCTGATAGAGACAAACGCTTCCTGAACGGGACCAATGACGTTTTTGTCTATCGCTCCGCCTCCTTGCCCCAGCGGCGCTGTAAACGCCAGCGATGATACGCCGCTGCTGCAGAGGCGAGCATCGGCTACACCAGAACTGCAGAGCACAAAACTTCGTTGAACTCATTGCAAAAATAATCCTGGGTCCACCGATCAAGTTCGTTGAGCCAAAATACTGTAAACGACTTAATTTTCGCAGGCTCAAATTTTCACAAATCGGGCCAAAGCTGAAAATTTAAAATTATTCGCGGGTTCTAATTTTCGCGAATCGAGTGTAACTCCTGTAGCATTCACATATTGCTCGAATAATTCTCGGGACGTATTTTTCGCGAACTGTAGGCGATTTGCAGGTTTCCGCGAAAATTTATTTGTTTACAGTATTCGCTATTTCGAAATTCGTTTTTCATTTAACTGAAACATCTTTGCATAGCAGGCATAGGAAAACCGTCGGCGGTTTTTTTAAAATTGGTTATTCTGAAATATTTGTTAAGGGGACACACCCCCTAGGAGGGTCAACTTTTGAACCCTTAGATTAAAATTAATGAAATTTACAGGGTAGGCTGGTGGTCATGCTAGAGAGTGCATAACAAAATTTCAGGTCTGTCAGTTAAGTGGGAAAGAAATTATGGCAGCTTCTATGAGCAACACGCCTACATTGTTTAGTTAATCTATCATCGGAAAACTATCACAATAATCAAGATTTTTATTCACTAGATATTAGGGCTGGGCAATTGATTGATTAACCTTCCGATTAATCAATTAAGGCTTTAACAGCGATCAAATTTTTTAACCGGTTAATCGGTTTTTTAATCAGTACTCAAAAAGAAGTCATAGGGGTGACTCATGCCGCCCCGCCCCCCGCCCGCCCCCCGAGAAGTCTGTTCTAGTGGGTTCTTAACTTGGCCAAAAACAGTGGCCTCAAAACAATCTAGAACTGTACAGCATTCCAATAATGAAAAAAATGGCTCTGCGCATCGGACTTTGAAACATAAGAAAAAGACGGGAAACCCCATTGGGCATTCTTTAAACAATAGGAAGCGTGTGACACCTTAACAGGGCACACCGATCTAACCGATGTGCACGCCAAATGACTGTTGATAGTCTCTTCCCGTTACCACTCCGCAGCCAATCAGATATCATTTCGGTGTTACTCATTATGGACACCCAAGAATGAATCATACGGCGCATGAACATAATAAGCCCTGGCGTTTTTACTTTGTCAGTGAGAACTGCAGGGCTCGTCATCTCCGTGCTTCTCGTTGCCCAACTCCTTCTTTGGCCCTCCTAATGTAACGCCGCAGTCTCATTGGCTGTGGAGTGATAATGCCCGGGAAGCGCAACGAGACAGTGGCGCCAAGGTGCAGCTCTTAACGGTCGTTTGGCGTGTGCATCAGCTGGATCGCCGGGCCCCCTTCAGGCGTTGCACACTCCCTGTAGAGTTTGCAGGCTGACAAACTATGCCCAAAATATGAAAATACGGCGTACACCACATACTTCTAAGAAAGCTAGGATTACGATAGTTCGAGAAATGCACCTACCGTTAAATACCGCGGTAGCACCCGCTTCATTAAGTGCCCACTATTAACACCTCTGACTTCTGCATTCTGCAAATTATACGTTAAGCGCCCAATTCCCCGACACAAGCGTCTATGCATTGATTAGTCCAGTTTTCAGTGAAGGCGGGGTGGGTGCTCCCCCGGTATTTTAGGGTATATGTTGCAATGCCCTTCTTAAACATTATCTTAAACTTGAGCAGCCCTCCAAGCAGAGATACTGGGTTGGAGCAGCACCACCTAGCAGCCAAGACCCGCACCTTTTGCGCCCAAACATCGCCGCTAGTGGATCTACGAAGCGCCGCCTACCTCGCGTCAGCATCAGCATCGCCACCGGCACATCCTGTAGCGTCTCACAACGAATGCAACGCTAGCATGTGGCGATGACAAGTCTCGTCGAGCTACAACGTGTTTGCCGCTTCGGGTGGGTCAAGAATCTATTACCGATGACGTCATGCGTGGGCCATTTCTATTAAAGGGTTATACCATCTAGGAGCCCAGAGGCTCAAACTCAGTTGGAGCAGTTACGTTCCCCCCTTTCGAGACTCTGTGTTCCAACAAACTCCGTGTGCACCCAAGAGGCCTCGTAAACCTTTCACCTTTAAGGAGATCAAAGGGAAGCAACGCAATCCACGCCGAAAGACTACCTAACATTCCCGTTCCCACCGACCAAAACACGTGCCCCCAACAACTCGGAGACTCCCCATTGGCCTCTAGTCACACGCATCACATACGCCCCTACGAGCATCGTGAAGGCCCCTCGGTACTTCATGACGACACGTCATGATAAGGTGAGCATTACCCACAAACCTATAACAATGCAGTTCCAGTGCATTCATCTTGGTTCGAAACCCTCACCTTCTTGCGCTCTTTCTCCAGGTTGTGAAACTGCTGGTAGCACACCTCCAGGTGCATATGAAGCTCGTTGGAGGGTCCGCTCCGTCTGCAAAAGAGACCGCGCCTTCGCAGCACCTAGCAACCCTGTTCCAGTACTCTCAAAAATGTTTTCAAGGAGATTTTTTAACGAGGGGTAATCAGCCTGCCTACAAGACGTGGCACCATCATACGGGGGCAATGTAGCCAATGTGGTGGATCCAGGTCCGTAACATGACTAGACAAAAGCATGCTGAAACAGACCACACCTGTCCAAATTAAAACCTAAGAAGAGCGCAATATATCGGATTGCAAAGCAAGTTTTTGCTCCCCGTGCTCCAAGGTGCTCGTGCCTGGCCCCCTGTCACGACACTATTGTTGGTGACAGGTGTTAAGAGCGGAGCAAACACTAGAGAGGAGATAGTCTCCTCTCCAGCATCTGCGAAAGAGGAAAAATGTGGGAGGTAAGGACAGAATGAGCGGGTTGGTAGGGATAATTAAACTTGAGGAAGAAAACAAGAAGGGACGGACAAACACAATTTGCGCGACCTGAGCACGTGACAAAAAAATAAATCCAGTTCATGCTTCGCTACAAAGATTGGTTCTCTCTCCTTTCTTATAGCCAACTTTCGAAGTCTGCTTCCAAAGCAGGATGTACTGCTTACTTGCATCGATGCATGCTCTGTTGATGTCCTGTTAGGAACCTAAACCTGGATTTCCTCAAATATTGCAGACTCAGAGTTGTCTTTTTCTCATTTGTTCACTGTTTATTGCGAGGATCGACCCGGTGCCAGGGGAGGCGGAGTAATAGTAGCTATTAGAAACAGCGTCCCATCCTCTGTTATCTCCCTTAACAGCACGTTTGAAATTTTGTGGGTCACCATAAAACTGGAATTTCAGACATGTGTAGTTGGCGTATGCTACCGTCCTCCGAACTCTCCGGCCGACTTCGTTGAGGGCCTCACAGAAGTTATCGACGAGATCCAATGCAGACTCCCTAACTGTCCCCTCATATTGGCCGGAGATTTCAACTATCCTGGCATTGACTGGGGTGCCTGTGTTGTACCTGATGAATGTGCAAGGAGAAGTGAGTGCCATGAGTTACTTGATATGGCCAATTACTTTAATATGAAGCAAATAATTACCGCTCCAACTCGTGGAGATGCTGTAGTAGACTTAGTCTTTACAACTCACCCAGAACACGCTAGTGTACAAGTGATCGACCAAATTAGCGATCATCATGCACAGGGATGGGCAGTATTTTAAATACAAGTATTTGTAATACGTATTTCAAATACTTTCTGTATTTTGCATTTGTATTTAATTACAAATTGGGTAATGTATTTGACGTGTGTATTTAAATACTAAAACATGGGTATTTCAAATACAATTGTAATTAAATACAATTTTGTGGGCGAAAATACATCCCTCAAATTTATTGTCACTGTCCAGAGCAGGAAGAAAACTATGTTCTGCACCGAATGCAGTGTCTCTCAATTAAGCACAAGCGTTTAGTGACTTTGTGATTACGGTGCTAGTCCAGGGCAAGAATAGTGACGAAATCGACGTTCACAGGCAGACTGGCTAAGTAAGTGCCCGTGACAACTTGTGATGCTTTCCAGCCTGATTTCCATCCGTATTTTTGCCTAGAACATTCTAAATGCGGGGGTCATCCAGATTTTCGTAACTGGTGCGAGTTGCAACAATAAAAAAGTATATAGCTAGTGCTGCGCATCTTGGTCGTCTCCATTCTTTGTTGGTCTATACCAAAATGTAATCGACAAAAAAAGCTGCTTGAAGCTCTGTACTTTTTCCACCTGTTACGTCCAAGCTGATTACATTTTTTTGTGATTATATTTCTATTACGTTACTAGAGCCTCGCACACTAACTCCCGAGTGTGCGATGCAAAATTAAAATGAGATACCCAGAAACCCATTGCAGGTGCCCTGAAGTCGCTAACGCAAAGTTTGAGGAATGTATTTGGAAGAGTATTTGGAGGAGACCAAATACATTTGGTTGTATTTGTATCTTGTACTTAAATGCTTTTTTGGAAATGTAATTAGATTTGTAATTAAATACATTTTTGACGAAGTATTTTGTATTTGTATTTCGACACATATTTGCATGTATTTTGCCCATCCCTGATCATGCTATACATTGTGACTTCTCTCTGGTTGTTAATAAGCGGGACTCAATAAGGAAAGAAATATTTGACTACAAAAGAGTTGATTCGGAAACTTTAGACGCTATGCTACGTGAATTTTCCAGTTCATTTCTTAGTGAATTTGATGAACGGTCTGTGAATGAAAATTGGGTTCTTTTTCGGGAAAAACTATTGGAGGTTCAATCCATATGTGTTCCGACTTTAACAATCGCTCCAAGCTTGCACAAGCCCCGGTTTACAACTACTATTAAAAGATCTATTCAAAAAAAGAAACGTCTGTACAGGCCCTTCACTTAGACTCGGAACATGCCTGGACCGTTTATCATACTTGCTCAATCATATGTAAAAAAGAAATAAAAACGGCCAAACAAATATTTTATGACGAGTGTGTCTCAAACATGCTTCGAACTGATGCAAAAAAATTTTGGAAAGTAATTACTCCTAAACCTTCACCAGTATTGCCAAGCATTTCTCATGATGACGGGTCTTTGTTGGGCCCCCGCCAATTGGCCGCTGGGTTTAACACCTTTTTAGCAGTGTTTTCACTGAGGAGGATGACTTCCCTCAGCCAGTCGCTTTGCCATCTCATGCTGAATGTATTATGCAGGACATTGTTATCACCAGTCAAGGGGTCGGGTCGGGCACGTAGCCAGGATTTTGTTTCGGGGAGGGGGCCCGCCCATGACAAAATGCTGTATGAGGGGGAGGGGGGAGAGGAGGTCCCAGCAAAACGGAAGATTTCGGGGGGGGGGGGGGTGCCGGGCTTCATGGGCCTCCACCCTGGCTACGTGCCTGGGTCGAGTGTGCCATTGATCATTTGAACGCTAACTCCAGCCCGGGCCCTGACAGAATATCAACCAAACTCTTTAAATTAACCAAACACGTATCTGGGGTTCTGCTCGGTAGGCTGTTTTAACAATCCCTTTCCTCTAGCGAAATACCTGATGACTGGAAACTTGCCCACGTCATCCCCATTTTCAAGTCTGGTGATAAGAATTCTTTCAATAACTACAGGCCTATTTCACTAACCTGCGTGGCATGCAAACTCATGGAACATATACCTTCATCCCAGATAACGACTCATCTATCCAGTAACAACCTTATCTTTCCGAACCAGCATGGCTTCCAACGCGAGCATTCTTGTAAAACCCAGCTGTTAGAATTAATTCATGACTTTCATGTTTCTGTTCATTCCTCACGTCCCGTTGATGCTGTGTTTATTGATTTCGCAAAAGCTTTTGACCGAGTCCCCCACAACAGATTGATATATAAATTGGGTACTATTAATATAAACAAATGAGTTATTGAATGGATTGCGAGCTTTTTATCAAATCGGGCTCAATCTGTCGTGATTAATAAACATGTCTCCTCTCCCACACCAGTAAAGTCTGGCATCCCACAAGGTTCGGTTCTTGGTCCGGTGTTGTTCCTTCTTTATATAAATGAGCTTCCTGCGAACATTGAGTCCACCATACGCCGTTTCGCGGATGATTGCGTCATTTATCGGCCCATATCCACACTTTTAGATGTGTCCGTACTCCAGCGCAACCTTGAAATAATCAGCCAATAGTTGGTGCAAATCAACGTTACAAAAACGAAAACAAAAACCTATTATGGAACCTTCATACTGAGCATATCATCAGCAAAGCGTCCAAAACTCTAGGATTTCTTAAACGTTCATTGTTCCAGGGTAATGAAGCAACTAAACTTCTTGCATATACCTCACTCGTGAGATCGTAGTTGGAGTACGCGTCCATTATTTGGCACCCTCATCAGATGTACCTAACCAATAATACTGAGTCACTTCGAAATAAAGCCGCCAGGTTCATAGCTAAGGATTACTCCCGATACGTGACTAACATAAAACATTCCCTCAACCTTTCGCCACTTCTTTGTCGTAGATATATTTCCTGCATGTCCTTCTTCCACAAGCTATACCATGGTTCATCTGCTTTCAGAGATTCATACATCCAGCCTCCTCCTCATGTCTCATCCCGCGTAGATCACCCCTTCAAACTACGCCCCATTTTTGCTCGCACCAACCAATTCAAAAACTCCCCTCTCCTCCTCGCTGTCTCCGACTGGAACAGCCTACCCAGCGATACTGTGTCGATCACCTCAGCCCAGATTTTTCCCAACACCCTAACCAATGTATAACCATGTATGTAGTTTTTGCTTACTTAATTTTCACTAAGCATTTTTTTGTTTTTTCTGTTATTATATGTTGCGCCAACGTCATCTTTTTGTCACAAAGTGCACACTACCTTTGTCTATTATTCCCCCCCCTCCCCTATGTAATGCCCAAAAGGGTTTTTAGGGTAAATAAATAAATAAACCAGTTTGTGTTTATCCGTCCTTCTCGTAAGTTTAATTAAAGGTGGGAGAAGTTTCCCCTCCACTCTTTACCTGTCACAGACTAGCACAATGCCACTATTTCAGCGGTCAACAGCCTACAATCCAACCGCCCATGGCCACGCATTCAAACACCATCGTAAGTGACACGTAACCGCAGGGAGTCTGGGATTGTCCGAAAAGGTAGTCACTCCCCTCCCCAAACCAAAGAGAGAGGGCCGAGGTCTCACCGCAGCAGACGGGGCCCAAAGGCCAGGGGAGCCCTGGGCTGCAGCCAGCAGCCCCACGGAGCCTGCCGCGAGCTCAGGTTGCGAGGGAAGTCCCGGTAGCTGCTCGGCACCTCTCGGCCGCCGCAACCGCCCTCGTGGCCATTGTAGCCGCCGTAGCCGTTTCTGCCACCGCAACCGTCCTCATGGCTGTTGTAGCCGCCGTAGCCGTTTCTGCTGCCGCAGCCCTCGTACGAAGCACCGTAGCCGTTGGCACGCCCGTACCCTTCGCAACCGTGTATCACGAAGCCGTTGGCGCCTCCGTGGCCGCTGCTGCCGTACGGCTGGCTTCGCAAGGTGTGGTCGCCCAACGGTTGCAGGCACGACTCTCGGCTTCCCTGCGTCTGTTAAGGAAGCCGTGTCGCGGGTGTCCGAGGTTGTGCCTCGTCCCACACCCTCTGCGGAGTACTAAACGGGAGGTGACCACGAAAATGTGCACATTTAATGCGACCCTCAGAATGGAGTTTGTGGCCTAAACACCCCTACTCCACAAGTCGGTAAATAATGTTTCCCCAAAGCTCGTTCTTTGTAATTTTTTAGAAGATTACAATGTACCAGTATTTTTTTCTAACATTTTTGTACCATTCATTTATGCATTTCTGGACCAGTGTGATGATGTGAACGGGACATAGAAGAAAAGGAAGACAACATTGCCTATGTGACGGCACGGGCAAGCTCGTGCAGTCCGTTTTTTGGGGGCTAGACAGAGAAGGAACAAACTCAGCTCAGCGACGTGGGCCCCAGCAGCCAAGTAATGTCCCGGACGGACATCCGAGGCCCCTGGGGGCACTAACCGGGCTTGCCGGGAAACCACCGCCAGCACCGAACATCGAGCCCTCCCCATTTGGAAAATGCCTAGGACATACGAGGTTCCGACAAGCAGCGAGTAAGCAGAACACCCCAGACTTGACTTCATTTTCAATAATATATTTTTCCTCACATCCACCGTGCCGGAATCAAGAGTCTATACTTCTTACCATCACAACCAGCCTTCTTCTGTAATGACGACTGCCAATCCCAAAACCGTTCATTTAGAGCGTCAATTCTCAAACTGGACTCCTAGGAACCAATGGGATCCCCGGGCACTCTAAGGAATTCCCCAATTTTCTCAACCATCCCTCTCTTAATGCAGAGTGCTTGTCCAGCTTGAGCACTATTCTAGAGGTCTGAAAAATCCACCGAGGCATAACAACGAGCAAAACACTCCCCGACGCATCCATTATTGATTGCTAGGTCAGTATGTTTATCAACTGCTTTACAATGCCAAAACTGGGAGGGGCTCCTCAACCATCAACCGAGAGATCGGCGTTTCTCGACATTGAAAAATTTGCAAACCCAAGCCGTAGAGGTTGTTAGTGGCCCCTCACCAGATATCCTTGCAGGTCCAGCCCAGGAATCTGTCCCGTTGGGCAGGCCGCCGGGTAGCTGCCCTTCGACAACAGGGGCCTTCCCATGCCCTGGGACAGGACCGGGGATGTGCCCTGAGACACGGGCAACCAAATTAAAGAATGCGCAATGAAAAACAATTCCTACAAAATATAAACCCAAGTCATAATAGCATGAGCAACGAACGGGCTATTTTGACTACAGATCAGAGCATTGGGCACTTACAATATGCATTAAAGTTTTTTACGCAATCGGGGGTAATTTGCGGCGCTGTAGAACACAACCTGCAGGGGGCTTTTGAGTCCCACAACAGAGGGGAAGCAGGAGAGGATCATCTCTTCCACCCCTCCCCCATTGGCTATTAGATTCCAAGACCCTCACCATTCCTCACCACCCTCTGTTGCCTGCCTACGCTGCAGTCGGCCGCAGCGTACCTTACGTAAAAGAAAACAGAGTACAATACCTACCCAACTGTAATGCCTGCACATTAGAACTGGATATGATACAGAAATCGGGGCACGTTAGAATCTAGGGTGTACGGTACTACCTAGCTGTCCATTAGAGTCATGGGAACGTTAGAATTGAGTAAATCCGCTACATAGAAAATCCAAGACTAAAACTAGGGGCATGGCGATAAGAAAGCCCCGCCATTCGCTACAAAACACACACGATAGAATTTCGTTTAGGTCCTGTACCAAAACCCACGGACAAAACAAAAACATTAAAACCTCAATGACACGTTTTCAGTTCATATATTTTCCTGGTCGTTACATTAATAAATGCGCGTCCCTTTAAACTCCCGTAGGGATTTGTGCGTCGATTTCCGGTTTATTGTGCTTGCCTTCCTAAATGTTCCATCCACAATCTGGCACCCGAGGTGGCCGACACGACGCGATGGAAGTCTGCCCTTTTTTTTCTTGCTCCTTTAACCTCTTTGCACGGCACTTCTCGCCTTGCCCAGGTGGGCATGAGCTTGGACTAGGCTCAGAATGGACTCGAATCTTATGAAAGAGCCACTTTGTATTAAGGTGGCGATGCAAGCGAGTTGGTTCATGACTTCTGAAATTGGAAAACAGCGCGCAACGTCGTCTTCGTCTTTTTGCGCGCTGTTTTCCAATTTCAGGAGCCACTTTGGTCTTTCCATCTCTCTCTCCACTGTACGCACACGCTTCAACCGTGCTCGGTGGCTCAGCCCCCCCAGTTCCACTAGTTCCATTTCGCGTAGAGTTTGTAACCATGCACCCTGTGTGGCCTTTGCACTGGAGCACATGTCACGTTTCACCGCTTCGCACCGCCCTGTTAGGAGCCGCAGGTCATGCGGGGTGGCATCCAGGTTAAAGGGATACTTCAACCAAATTTGAAACATACCCGTCGTGATCAAAAATAGGTTGGATACGATCCGCAATACCCATAAATGACAATCGCACGTTTGTATTTTGAGCCTGGTGGCTGTATTTGTCGTTATTAATGAAAAATACACCCATGCTGGCAAGCGCTCGGAGAACAGCCAGCGGAGAGCACGTAACATCCAAGGCAATCGTGACGTAGTTCGTCTCGGGACGAGCAAAGCTACGGCGAGGCTGACGTCAAGAGGATGGCGTAATCGTTCCAGCCACCGAAGCGGCTGCTTTTGTACAAACTTTGAGCGACGGGTTAATCTTCTATAATCTTGTACAGGGACAATAGCGACTTCTGGGACACACAAAAGGGGTTCTCGGGAAGAGGAGAGTTCCTCCTTCCCTTCTTCTCTCATCATGGCCGGAGGCGAGAGAACCTCCGTCACTAGCTGTCAAGGTTCCTAGACGGGCATTACAAATGAGGCGTTAGCGACATCCACCAGGTACTCTTTGCTAATCGTTGAAATCGTTTTAAAATTCCTTTTCATGTCGTTTTCAACAAGAGATTGGTGTGTCTGATGTGATAATGCTCCATTGAACACATAGAGACCAAAAAATGTGCACCAAAATTTCGTAGTAGTATCCCTTTAAAGAGGAGCTCCGGCGTCAATTGGAACCCTTTCAACTAAACATACTTTCGGGAAAAGCACACAAAAGTGAGCCTAGAGCAGCAAATAAATTTCCCCAAAAATTTGTACATTTTTAATCATAAAAATATGAGATAACCGAAACCCAACTTAATCTGCAACTTTACTGGTCCGCCAAGTGGTTGTGACATCAGATGTCGTATCAACATCAGCACATGGAAAGCTCTGCCCATTTTTTCTTCCTGGTTTTCCTTTTTTTCTGTTTCTGTATTTAAAGCGAAGCTGAAACACTTCTTGAAAAAAACGAGTTAGAGGTGAATTCTGGCGTATTTTTATCCCGTGAATCTGAATATCACTTCTGTTTTCCCTGAAGATGCAACTAAAAGCGAGAAAAAGCGAAAAAAGGTTCCACCAGTCGTGACGTCATACTAGGATCTTCGGGCCGCCAAGCGCGTGTCGCTGGTGTGTTCAGCGCGTGCAACGGCAAGCTTGCCAGGTATATTTCCCCGTACTGACACCAGTCGTGACGTCTCTTTCTGACCTTTCTGAAAATAGCAAGAGTGCGCGTGCATAGCTTTGACAGGCGCTGAAGGTGCGCGAGAGCAGATATTCCGAAGGCTCCTAGTGTGACGTCACGCCCCGGGAAGGAGGGGCTTCGGCGGTACTTTAAAAATTAAATTCTGAAGCCTCCGTGCACCAAATTGAAAATTAATCTTGATATTCCTGATCCTGGAGGTAGAATGAAGGCCATTGAAATGTTTTTTCTCAAATAGAGAACCGCTTCAGTTTCCCTTTAAACTACTATTTCAGAGGTTTCTTGTCAATTAAATTTTCAGTTGTGTTTGAGACTGTCAGTGATGTGACTGGTCCGAGTCATTTTGGAGCAGTCAAAAGTCTATTTCGGAGCAGCAAAAAGAACTTTTGAAGCATAAGTGCACATTTCATTTTCATTCGTATCGCTGCAAATATTACATTAAGATTCACGCGTTGGCCTGTCCGACTAAAAGGCAATGCCTACTTTGCCATCTCAGTTATGTGTAACCTTTTGTGAGCATCGATTGCACAGCAGGAGTGATTCTCTCAAACACAGAACTATAGATGTTTAGTTGCGTGCAGCAGAACCAGACACGATAACAAGGTGACCGATGAACTACAGCACAAAATGCCGTGAATGGGTATTTAGGCAAGAAATTGCGCCGAAACTAATCTAATACAATAATTGTAAGCGCAAAGAATTTGTTTTCTTTAAGTGCTACAGCTTGTAACAAAACTGGGAGTCTTAATTCAGACAACAGCAAAGCATAAACATGAGCCTACCGAAGAGTCCATATAAATCTTCTTGCAATACCGAAGTATCCTTACGAAATCTGGAGCTGAAAAAAAGTGCCACCAGGATATCACAGTATAGCGAGTATTCAATGGCGGCCATAGCTGCGCGCGTGACTGTGGAGTGCATGCTGACAGTGAGCATCCATAGTTCTTTTGCAAGGTGCATTCCAAACCATCGAGATGACCGATCTTAGCAGCCCACTTATCGGATCCGAGCGTCCGCTAAAAACGGCCCACTCAAATATAGCATCCAGACCGTTCTAATAAAGAGCCTCAGGCAGGCTCCATCTTCAGTTTGTGCGTATCCCGCGTGTCTTCCTCCCTTTCCAAAGACACGAGACCGTGCGTGTTGGGTCGTGAAGATTGTACGCTCAGATGTGGATTTGTATATATTTGTAAGCATCGGAGAGGTGTATAGAAGCCCAAGTTTTCTTCAGAAATAGCGCCACGTCTAGCTTTTGAGCAGTGCCTTCCCCCTTAGCATGCAGGTGCGCTGCAGTGAAGCAAGACACACAAAATCTCCATGACTACTTTGCGGTAGTTGGTTCACTGCAGTACATGAGTGCGCAGTCAGTAGCCCACTCAACGATAGTAACTAACCTGCCGGGACAAATCACAGACATGAAAATTATAGCAAGACTTCCCAGTGCTGCCGGTGTATGACGCGCAATCAAATTGAATAGTATGCTATTTGAGGCGTTTAGTATTGAAAGTTCTGAAAACTTGTACCAGCATATCGTATCAATCCAGCTGGGTAGTGAAGCCCGAGCAATTTATTTTCAGGATTATTAAAGTTAAATTAAGTTTCTTCTCAATGTTGGCACAAATTGCTCCTATTTTGGTAAAATGTAGCAGGATGTAGCAGGGTAAGCACTTGGGCACACTTTGGCGCAACAATAACATCACTGGGCCGTGTTTGTCCTGTGCCCTCTTGCAACCTAGCCTAAGAATTTTTCGCAGTTATGGTAAGTTTACGCAAGCTCATTTGCACACTCACTTTTTGTTCACAACTTGTTGTGCGACCCTGTTTCATCTACAGTCCCACAACAGTGTTATCATCCGTTAATTTTCCCCAGATCACGCATAGTTTTACCACGGTCCCCCGAAAAACGCATCCAGGAGGTTCTATTTCCCCTTTATCTCGGTCTGCGTCAACAAGAACCCTGTTGACTGAAAACAAATGTTACAATATCCAGATTGTAAATACCACAAATATGATTACAGGTGGCTCGCGCTGCAGCGAATATAAAATGCCGGTTACAGTAATGTGCAGAAATAGCAAAGACATTACCAGAACTGGCTATTGGCATTAAGAGGCTCGGGTTTCAAACTTGCGAGCATGTCACCCTGTATGTAACGGCTGTCCTTGGAAATCACTTTCATTTGAGGAAAAACAAGTTTGATGGTGTTCGTAAAGATCACGGACAAAGTCTGATGCGATAAAACACTCAGCACCAGCGGCAGCAATATCGAACTTGTCATTCTGGGCAGGTGCCAATCCCACTGCCAAAAAGCCGAAATCTTTTGACTGCAAATGTCACCTCAAGCCTATGGCGCACCTTGCATTCACGAGGGCACCCATTAAACCACTCTGGCATCGTTGCAGCAAGGCAGCTATGCAGTTGCCTCAGACACAATCACATGGTCGTGTCGCCGCAGGGTCGACTGGGATCTCGAATTCGGCTCCCGACGTGCCGCTTTCTCTCCTAGCCACTGGATGGCGCTGCAGGCGCCCCAGAACGGGCGAGGAGGAACCTCCTCACCCATCGATCGGTGGACAAGGGGGCGAAGAGCCTCTTAGGACTCCGGGCGGGTTCGAGATAGGCAAGTGCAAGCAACTGCTCTCGGGCAATAGCGGGACACGAGGCCTGGGGGCCCTCTTTGTGTGTAGCTTTGGCTTTACGTGCAAGTTTAAATATTTGTGTACTCTCACGTGTATTTGTAGTTCAGATTGAGTGTTTTGAGCGTTGTGTTTTATGTACTAATAAATGGGGAATCTCGTGAAAGAACCAGGCTGGACTCGGGTTGTTGACGGACCACGTGGGAAATGACTAATCGGCGGCAGTACGCGAATTCCTACAAGCTGCAGGCCCCTCCCAAAAGCCTAATTGCAGCAACATTTCACTTTGTCACCCATGAGGAGTGCTCACATCATTGATGCACACTGCTGAGCTGGTTGTCTACCCTTGGACCTTGTTGTTCTCAGAAGGGTGACAAGTTGAGAAAAGGTTGTGCGACCACCTGGCCAAATCTGAGGGCTCACCTGGCGTGCATTGCTGCCCACTGCCAAGCAGCCCAGGCGACGGTTTAGAGGCTCCAAGCCACAGGCCTCCTGTGCCCCAGAGCACCTAAAGCCCGCCTCCAGAGAAGACCTGCGTCAAGAGAGAACACACTCGTCTGCTCCCCAATGTGTACATCTTTCTTTATGTTTTTGGTAAATGCGGCATCATCTGCAGACATCGGGAGACCCTGTCAAATGGATGAAAAGCATCTTCTTTGGCTTTTCAAGGTTTCTGGCAGCACGCATTTCAGAAATTGCACGTATCACCTGTCATCAATTCCCCCTACGGCCTCTCGTTGATTCTCCTTTGTCGGGTTGCGGTTAAAAGCTCGATGAAAAACACAAAAAGGTGCGTCAGCCTGGTGCAGTCGGACGACTTGGATTCAAACCTGCATGCTTTTTGGTAGCTTTCTCATTTCATTCACTCATATATTTGGACTATGGGATCTTGAAAACCACAAGAAAACAAAGGAGCTACCTTTCCTCATTTTTAAAGAGGCAGGATTGGTACTTGAAGAGCTTAAAATGAAAAGGATTCTTTTCTGAAAAGAGGGATCTCGTGAAATTTCCTTTTGAGCTAAGAAATGGACAATGTTCTAGAGACCGACCCGCAAAGCAATTTTCTGCCTGGCAGAAATTTCCTCCCTTATCCTCCTCGACTTTCTGCATTTTTCACGCACAAATCAGGAAGGCGAGAAATGAGAAAAAAATGGCGAGGAAGAGAGGCGATCCTTTCTGGCTGCGGGTCAATCTTTAAGGCCATAGAAAACAACTGCTGCCATCTTGAAATTGTGCCTGAGGTGACTGCACAACGTAAGGATTGTAGGGCGTCCATACACATATGATGAGATGATCCTCTTGAGAAAGCACGAGCTGCAGCAGCGAGAAACTGACCTATGCAGCCTGGTTATAGTCAACGGCGTAGAAGGGAAATACGCCACCGGAGGAGTTTGTGACACAGTTAAGGCCAGTCCACACACTCGCGACAGCTCACAACCAAATGCCTTAAAACCTCTTGGGATCTCTTACGACCAGTGAACGCACTTTGCATTTTCGTACATTTTCTATATTCTTCGAGCATCGATTCTTTGTTTTGCCGAAAAACTTTCGACAAAATTACACGTTGCGTTTCAATTTCAGTTTCAATATGACTTTAGCAAGCTGTTCGGTAAGCCGATGGAAGACGAGCCAGTCCAAGGGGACCCATTCGGCAACTACGAATGAAGAAGGTTATTAGTTTGCATAACTGGCTTCTTCTTTCTGGTTTAACCACCAGACGCAACAAATGGGCAACGAGCGATACGTCCAACGTGACAAGGGAACCCCGTGCCTCCTCGTCGGACCACCGAAGGAGCGAGGAAGGTCAGTTGACCGGCTCTCGACGCTCAGAAAATTTCACGCAGCGTGGGTTCAAAGGCAAGATGGTGTCTGCTCCGTCTGCCAATTTTTCCGCCCTTTGATGTCAGTTTGTCTCCATCAACGCTTGGAGATCAATGGCGACATTTGGATCGACAGATTCAAAAATCTGTTGACGGCGCTCCATTTTAAGGACGCAAAACAAAAGAAGACTCTGCTGCTCCACTACATCAGCAAGAAAGGCTACGACATGTACGCGCCACTCACACCGTTGACGGCAACCCCACCCAGCGTAACCACTACGGGACAAACTGGCCAAAGCAATGCCGGAAGCACTTTTGGATCACCAGATGGCTACGAGAAAGCAAAACAGCTGCTCCACCACCACTTCACGCCGAGGGCTAACCGAGACTATGATATCTTCAACTTCCGAAAAACGACGCAACAAGATGGCGAGACCATCGATGCACTCTACACGCCCCTCCGTGCAATGGCAAGGCACTATTCTTTTGTGGACACTGGTCCAGAGATAAAGTCGCAAATCATACTCGGTACGTCATCCACAAAACTACGACGTTTCGCTTGAGACGCTTGAGAAGATTCTAACATGAGGATGGACGTACGAAGACATTTCGCGACAGCTAAAAAAAATGGAGACATCCGCAACAGACCAGGCGAATGACTCGATGCGCAAAGAGAAGTATTGGAAGCAGAGATCGACCCACACGTCGAAGCAGCAACACACTGCAATAACTGAAAGGAAGTGTTTCAATTGCAGTAGACTGTGGCTCCATGAGCAAGGTAAGTTCTGCCATCCAGCAAGGAACAAAACGTGCAAAGCACGCAAAATGCGAGGACACTTTGCAGATGTACGCAGAGGAAAAGGCCAACAAGGTGGTCCCACCATGACTCACAGGCTGGTTGAGCACAGCTTGGACTCTGATTCGGACGACCGAGTCTTCAAGCTACAGCACAACAACTCAAAGGCGTTAAAAGGTACATTGACCATCGGTGACTGCGACAGTGACTTTATCATGGACACAGGAACTTCGGTGAACGTCATAAGCCATGACACACACAGCAAGATCCCAGGCAAACAGACCCTGAGTGGCCCAGTACCCAAAGTGTCTGCATACAGATCAAGAACAGAACTTCCCTTCATGGGCAAGTTTTCTGCTGAACTCCGCTACAAGGACACCAAGTTGCGAGATACCATATTGGTGACAAGGAAGCTGGGTCACTGTTGTGCTTCAAGTCAGCTGAATCTCTGGGACTCGTCTCAATCGTGTACAAAGTTTCTCCCTCGCAGAGCATCCAAGAGACGTAGCCCGAGGTACTCAGAGGACTAGGAAAGCTCACAGGAATAAGTGAAACTGCACATTGATCACTTATTCCACCCGCGGCACAGAAGCTACGGCCCATCCCGTTCAACATGCGTGTGTTGGTCACAAAAGGGACGCGGCGACTGGAGCAGCTTTAGGTGATCGAGAAAGCCTCGGGCGCCGCTTACACGGGTCTCTCCCATCGTCGTTGCACCAAAGCCACATGCATTGTTCGGATGTGTGTAGACGTGCACCGGCAAACCAAGCCATCAACAGAGAGCGACACGCATCCCCAACGCTGGATGATCTCGTCACAAGCCTCAATGGTGCGTCTGTCTTCTTGAAACTAGATCTCAATGACGGATACCACCAGCTACTATTGCACGAGGACTCGAGACACATCGCAACGTTTGCAACTTATATCCAACTCTACCGATACAAGTAATTGAACTTTGGAATCAATGCTGCCACAGAGCTGCTCCAGAACACGGTCCGACAAGTGCTCGCTGGCACCCCCGGAGTCATTAACATCAGTGACAAAATCTTTGTGTATGGAACAGACCATGAAACTCGCTGGAAGCTGTGCTACGACGCCTCAGGGATTGTGGACTCACACTCAACCCGAAGAAGTGCTCTTTCTCCCAACGGGAATTGACGTTTTTCGGGCACGGCTTCTCAGGGAAAGGAATGCAACCCGACCCAGCAAAAGTCCAAGCGTTTCTTGACATGGCCCCGCCAAACAGTCCAGCAGAAGTGAGGAGTCTTCTGGGCATTATCACCTACTCCAGAAGATTCCTTCCCAACCTGGCAGACAGAGCTTGCCATGATGCCCGAGGGCATCGTTCTTTGAGGCACAAGGATCGTGCTGCCAGCAGGTATCCAGCAATGTGCCGTTGAGCGCACAAAGGCCACATAGGCGTCGTAAAGACCGAGCAACTCCTTCGCACCTCGGTGTGGTTTCCCAGGATGGACACACTGGTCCAACAGGCTGCACACAACTGTATTCCATCCCAGGCCTCAGCACCCACATCGCATCGTGATCCTGCAGAGCCAACGCCTTCCCCTCATGGGCCATGGGAAAACCTGCGTATCAACTTTGCAGGACCGTTTCCGACTGAAAAGTACCCACTCATTCTTATCGACGAGTACCCATTGGTGAGACAAGTAACCTCGACAAATGCGACCTCAACTCTGCAATTCCCGAGACGAACATTTGCTGAAATGGGCGTCCCTAAACAAGTCGAGAGCGACAACGGGCTGCCTTTCAACTGAAGTGAGTTCAAGGAGTTTGCAGCCGAACTGGGACACCCCTTTGGCCCAATTCCTTAACCAAGGCCATTGAGGCTCCGCTTGTCCACAGAAGAGATTGGATGCAGGGCATGGATGACTTCTCGATGTGCTACAGAGCAACCTCACGTGCCACAACTAAGAGATCTCCGTACAGACTTCTCTTCAGCAGACAGATGCAAACCATACTACCACGACTCCCAGACGACGGAGTGAACCAGGACTTCAATGTGCATCAAGATGACGAGGCCGCAAAAAAGAAATCTATGGAACACACTGACGAGCAATGACCCACTAGACAACACTCACTGAAACAAGGGGACATAGCATTGTGCAAACAAAAGCAGCAGAACAAACTTACTTCGACCCAGACCTATACGTGGTGACAAAGGTTCAAGGATCAAAGATCACGGCGAGATGGCGAGAAAGAGACATAACTCGAAACACAAGTTTCTTTAAGAAGACAAATGCTGATCTAAAGTGGCAAGAGAAAGAGGACGATGAAGATCTCCCTCCTTCAGCTGAAGACATCCCAGAGCAAGCAGGACAAAACATTGGAAAGGATGGACAAGACGACCGTCAAGAGAGAGCCAGTCAATACCCTGCCAGAGCTTCAAGAGGGCTCAAGCCCCCACATTACCGGAACTGACAGCTAACTGTTAGAAGTGTTCAACATCATTTGTACTTCATTTTTCTTAAACACCAAGCCTAAGTTGCTGCTCCAGTCATTAAGGTAGGGGGGAATGTTGTGTTTCAATTTCAGTTTCAATATGGCTTTAGCAAGCTGCTCAGTAAGCCGAAGGAAGGCAAGCCAATCCAAGGGGATCCATTTGGCAAACACGAATAAAGATGGTTATTAGTTTGCATAACCACCTTCTTCTTTCTGGTTTAATTACCAGACACAACATTATAAAGGACCGTTGCTCGTAGATCGTGAGTATGTTTGATCTCTCAAATACTGCAAAACCTTCGCTCTAGTGAAATGCAGTTCCGGGGTCACCTCATAGATGGCACCAGCATGCCAGTGTCTCTTTTCGTCGCAAGAGGTTACAAGAAGTCGGTCGTAAGCAGATGCAAGCGTGCGAGTATGGGCCTTTAGCCCACCCGCAATCTGGGACACCTCACCTGGTACAAGGTCTCTGGTCATCGTCCACCAACTGGGACACCATGTCGTCGAGGGCCCTCCCCTGCTGGTACAAACGGCTCCCACACATGTCGGGAGTTCTGGGGCTGCCCAGCTGCATGTGTGTTGCACGCACAGATTTACCGCGTGGATACGACTACACACACTACGGCAGCCAGCCTCCAAATATTCCACCTCATTCCACCGCCGTATTAGGTCCGTGCAGCGGGACGGTTACCCTGGGCTGTGTTCCAAATCTTGCCCAAATGATTTCGAGTTACTCCGGCGGGTCGTGTCACGTGACAACACAAATTGAAAAACGCTGGACGCAGGTAGAGTTTTGGAACGCCAAGGCACAAAACCCTTACCCTGGAGTAAGATTGAGTAAATTTTGGAACACAGCCCTGGGGTCTTTAATGTGTATTACACAATGGCACAAACTCGGACCGATGTGAGGTTTCTTTAAGCTGGGACTGACAGGAGCAGTGAGGGAGCTATTCAACTGCGACTTCTGGGAGCGGCCCATCCTGGCAGAAAAGTGTGTTCTGGTGCCGGATATACAAAGCCGCAGGGAGTGGGGCTCACATTGGACACGGAGCCATTGCCCCGGACTGGGCTGGGCTGGTTCCAGGGAGAGTAGAGGCGGTCTCCTGCCGCAGGCCCTGCCGACATCCACCAGGCAGCAACAGGCTCCTCCTGCAAGACTGAGCTCCCTCAAACCGAGCTGCCTAACCCTTATATCCATCTGCTACACACATGTACGCAAGATTATTCCAGGAGGAGGATGCAAAAGGAAAGGCCTGCAACAAGGGTGGTAAAAACAGTGACCAAGTGGTTACGAAATGAGAAGAAAGTGAACGGTCTCAAGTTCTCGCCTGTGGCATCACAGGTGTCTAGCAAGCATGCAATGCATAGAAATTATGCTGCACATCCGCAATATTGGATGGGTCATGCTGGAGAATGAAGAATAACCAATGGAGCTCAAGCCTCCACAACCCCCAGATATAAAACCCTGCAACTCCTGCTTGTGAGGATTTACAAAGGACACCATGTATCCAACCCCACTGCATTAGCAATTGGATGACTCAAGGCAAGGCATCTCCAACGCGGGGGAATTGACATCCCAAGGTCTGCTGAGGTGCACCTGGACAGAACTTGACATCTGTCGTGTGGCACCCACATTAAAGGTTAGTAAGATGCACGCACAATTTGGAAAGTTCTCCCTCTTTCTGTGCCGTGACAGTTGCAGTAAATCAGCTTTACTATTGCATCATCCTTCATTAATAACCCTAGACATGATTACACACAAACATAAAGCCCGCATGAAATGCTGATGGACACATATATGTTTCTTTAGGAGACAGACATATTTGCAAATCTACCGAGAAGCAGATGTTGAGCGCCAACACTAGCACCGAAGGCGGTACTGTCCTGCAGTGCATGGATCACGCAATCACTTATACTTTGTCTAAATAACACGAATCTCAAAGAGAACCTCCACCACCGTGCTCAGAAGTTATCTGCGTACTCATAAAGAACAAAAGGGAGTCGCACAAAGTCAATATCAGGACCACTGAATTGAAGTACAAGTGCCCTTATCAACGTCCTCTTCAGGGTGCACATAAAGGCACGTTCACACACTCGCAACTCCTTAGAACCGAGTGCCTTAGAACCTCTTCAAATTTCTTAAGCAGAAAGAATGCACCGACAGGCTGGCACCATCCATGCGGTGACCCCAGAACTGCGTTTTCACTGGAGCGAAGGTTTGGAAGTATTTGCGAGGTCAAATGTACCTATGTACTGCCCAGAAAGAAAAAAATGATGCGCGAAAGAAATAGGAAATATACGGGACCGTCGAGCGTTCGACGGCCACCCCATAGATGGAGGCTGTATTCTCTCGTTGTAAGAGATTTTAAGGGGTTTCGAGGCACCCGGTCCTAAGGAGTCGCAAGTGTGTGGACGGGTCTTAACTCTAGAAGCTGGGAGCCAGAGTCACACCCCTTTGAAACCACAACCTTCAACTCGCAGTTTGCACATGGAGTGTTAGGCACAGTAAGGCAATACCGAAGCTGCCCGTTTTCTTTTGTCGATAAAGACAATGAGCTTCTAACCTCGGGGATCATTATACTGACTAAAACTAATGCCGCCGGCTAAGTGAGCCAGCCACAAGTCTTTCCCATGTAATGGTTTGCAACCATTGGGTATCATTTCTATCGCCTAAAATTACCAAGCACTTATAAAAATCAGTTTTCTCCCGAGAAGCAGCAGGAAGGAGATACCGTGCAGTGCAGAGAAGAGTCAGTGTAGGGCAGGCCAGCACAGTGCAGCGTGGAGAGGCTGCTGCACAGGTCATCTTCGGTCCCTGTCGACCGCCGGCCATCTAAGCACCACGAGTCAGCCTGGATTGGGACCAAAGTACTTTCAGAACATTTCACTACTTCAAGTAGGTTTAGAACTGTACTTTACTTCAAGTACATTCTCTGAATATGTACTTATACTTTACTTATTTTTTCTGGTACTTTCCAAAGAAAGTACAACTCCGAACTTCACAGTACATTCCCCAAATTTGGTCTCAGTGAAATTCAGCTCTTTCAAAGACCATACACCCGTGTCCTTGGCTTTCCCAGTATTATACGCAACTTTTGAGGTCAAGTATAAAAGAGTTTACCAACCCTTAACAAAAATAATGACGTACCATTATGCGAAAATGCACCATCTTTTGAGACGTCATCCGGTCATTTCTCCGTGTGAAGTAATGGCAGCTAAAAGACCGCAAATAAGTGCTTTATAAGTTGACCATGCTAAATTGTTCATCAGCGAGAGTAAAACAACTACAGTTGAACTTCGACCTAACGAAGTCACCAGAACCCGCTAATTATTTCGTTAAATCGGGAACTTCGTAATATCGAGGAAGGGATAGCTTGCGCATAGGCTGCGCGAGGAATCCGTATTTGTTTGTTTAATCGGAAAATTCGTAAAATCAGATTTTGTTAAATCGAGGTTCAACTGTACTATTTGGCCATTTGACTTTATCCAATATTCGCCGCTATTTCCGAAAATAACTGATGCATTACCCCAGGGGTAATGCATACCAGTTTTTTTTTAAAAAACACTGTATAGGATAATGAAAGGACATCTTGAAAGAGTGTAAAAAATTACTTGTACTTTACTTTAAAATTACATTGTATCTATAGCACTTTTCTTCCAAGTATGTTGCACCCAGCATACTCATTTCATTTACTGTTCTCATTTACTTTGTACTTCAAGTACTTTTTAGGTGTACTTTACCAAACATTGATTGTGACCAAATTTTCGTTATTTAAAATGGTTACACAAGTTAGCCTACTATATTTATGTTTTGGATTTTCTGATTTTTCTATCTTCATCCTGCCCATGATTTTGTGACTAACATTGAGAAATCAATGATGCCAATACAATTCTGTGTCCCTTAGTTCAGGTGGAGTGCTCTACCAACTGAGCTAACCAGGGGTTAGACGTCAGTAGAGCAAACGGATCTTATCAGTCGCCACCAGTCTAACACACATATATTTAGGAACAGGATTCGGGTCTTCCAATAGCCCTTGTACAATTATTTGCCTTGTATTGACAAACCTAGCAAAATGCTGAAAGCTTTGTTTGTTCATCTCAATGCATAAGTCAATGGAAGCATGCGATAGAGCAACACTTATTTACAAATTTTTCGGCCTTCCGCCATGCTTTGCACCAATTCCCTAAATATCTACTAGATTTCAAAAAAGGCTGACGAAATTCCCTAAGTGCTCTCGTTCTTCCCTGTTGGTATATACTCTGGTTAGAGGGCAACTCCACTTATGTTGTAGTTTTTCCTAGATGACGACTCGTCTTGAACCAGTGGTCCTCCCAAAGTACAAATTTGCATGAAACTTGGCCTCCAACTTCCAGTCAGCACAAACCAAAGCTGTGCACTGTCCCTATAGTCCGTGATCGGTTCAGGGAGAAGCTCCTCCCACCTCTCTCCACTTTAGCATAGCCTCTTTTCTGGCATTCGCTCTGCTGAAGTGGAAAGGGGTGGGGGGAGCTTCCTCTGAACTCTTAACCTAACTACAGGCTGACGTGCTATTTACAAACCCACGAGGTGTGGGCAAATCTGCAGTTGCCACACGAGGTGTGGGCACAGCGTGTGCGCAAAAACCAGATTCGCGTGGAGCATTTGCCCATGCCAACAGCAACACCACCACAGCGGCGTGACATCAGTGTTGGTGTAGGACCCCACAGAGAATCGCATGATTGATGTAAGCGTCATCTCGCACACATTTTCCCAGACCCCCATTGCAAAATCAGAGCCACTACACTGAGCCAGTCGGACATGCCAGGAACAAGAATGTCACAATTTTACATTTTTAATGGAGCATTGTATCTTCCAAAGCTCTACCACGAAGCTATGTGGGGATTTGTATCTACAATTCCATTAGGGAATGCAACGTCACGTAACACAAAATTTCTTGCGCTCCTATTATGGCACGCTTAACTCAAATATGAGATGCTCGTTTCATGAAATACTGTCGGCAGAACTGATCTTCAATGCTACGATAGGAAACTGGGCCTTGGAGCTGATTCAAGGGCATTTACAAAAAGGGCTCTAATCTCCAGAATTGCATAAACATTTGCTACGACTTGTCACGATTGATGAGCATTCTCATCATTTTCACACTCACCCTAACAGCTCTCATCTTCAAAAACAGATCAACATGCCTGAACGACCGTGGAAGAAAAAATCAGTCTCGATCAATTTCGTGCCGAAGGTATGCCTATTTGTGCGCGAGTTTTTTAAACGATACTCAAACGAAATGATGGATACTAATTATGTCCTGCATTTGTCTTTTTGTTCCGGCCCTGATGTGAGAAGCATACTCTGATCACAAGTGTGCAAGCACAATTCTTCTCCAGGCTGAGGAAATACCACACGGCGGGTGTCAACTTCATTCGTGCTAAAGCGTCGCGCTGACTGGGACGTTGACGATCGGCACTAATGAGAGCGGCCACAGCTAATCCCAGAGCCGCACATCCATCCCTGGCGCAACGAAATCGACCTTGATTTGGGAGCGAGCACTCCGCGAACGGCAGCGTCGGCGAAGCACACGAGGCGCCCAGACATGACGCGTCGGATGCGATCGAGCCCACTTGGGCGACTGGCAGTATTCGACCTACCATGCAGGAGATCGCGGCTTGCATCCACTACGCGGATGACAGTAGTCGCCGAACGACGCAGGTCCCAGCCAAATGGCGCAGTCGGACGCCTGGAACGTTCCTCTCCAACAAGCGTTCGCTGTCAGCGTTCTCCAAGCCGTCGCGTGCGATTTGACTTGAACGCTCGCACGCGCTGCTTCTTCGCCATCCTCGCGCACGATTGGGGGAGGGCGACGAATCCCAGAGCGTTTGTCTGTGCGTTCGACAGCGGTAGTGCACCGGCTCCGCGTTTTCAAAATAATCATCTCGATGAAAAGTGTGCGGCGCGCCAAATTCGGCCACTTGTTCAACTCACCGCAGCGACAGGGCCAGCACAGTGTGTTTTCTGACCCCAGCCCACTAGTGCTACAAGCGCCTGGGATTCGTCTGAAGCCTGGCAACTGAGCTCAGTAACGTTGCTCGGAACCACGGCTCAAATAATTCGGCGACTTGCCTTTCTGCGGCGCCGCGGCTGTCCTGAGCCGAAGAACCCTGCGAGCTAGCTGCCTTCCGATGCTTCGTCGACTGCGCTCAATGGAAGCTGGAGCACGCGACGCCGCGGAGCGCCGTCAAACGTCACGAGCCACCCGCGGCAAGGAAGCGATCCACGAACTGACTACGACGACAGCCCAGTCGCCGAGTCCGCACAACTTTGGCGCCAGAGGAGCCAGCGATGGTTCATCAGGTGATCATGGCGGCAGGCGGGAATCGATAGCGAGCAGCCGAGAGGAACCCACCTGAACGTCGAGCAGCGAGAAGTCTTGCAGGGACGTTGTCGGTGGGAAGGCGTCGGCGAGTCCCTGGAAACCACCCCACGACGGGCTGAACGCCATGGGGATCGCCGAGCATCCCGAATTGCACGTCGTCCTCCCCACCGCACCGACGGGAACGAGTGGCGAATTCGGGTGCTCCTCCGCGCTCTAGCCGGTTCTCCGCTGTCTGCGCATGCGCGACAACTGTGCTTTTTTTTTTTTTTTTTTTTTTTTTTTTTTTTGACGATTTAGGGAGTAGGGAAATTCGGGGGTGGCTTTCATCGCTGTTCGTTCCTTGTTGCCTGCCCTCAGAGTCTGCCGTCCTCAGGGATATCGGGGAAGTGCCGATCGCCTTTGACGCCTGTATCTAATATTGGCGCGTAATTCAAAATTATGCGCTTGTGTATGGGCGTTCACAAGCAGACAGAACGCTAAAGAGAGAAGGAGGTTCTCCCTCTCTTCTCCAACGTTCCGTCTGCTTCCTCCTCCCCGGCCCGTCTTACCCTCGCCCTACCTTCTTGACCTTCACAACGCAGTTGAAATAAATCGAAATTCTTATGTCCAGCGTTGGAAAGTACTGAAAGTTGGTTCAGAGAACGTGTACTTTACTTGAAGTACATTCTCTGAGTATGTACTTGTACTTTACATAAAGATTTGTTTCTCTACAGCCGAGCTGCAAAAGGCTAGTTTCCCCAGTATCATGTCCGCCCGCAAACAAATGATGACACAAAACCGCACAAAACTCTGGACAGCTGCCGCCATCTATGAGCGACGGCGGCAACCTTTCCGGCTTTTCTACTCTAGCTTGCTCCATTGCTTCATTCCAGTGGCGTACCAACTTGTTTTTGAGTTAGGGGGCAAACCAGACCCGCTCCCCCTCCTCCCCCCCTCCAGGGCCGGTGCCCTTGGTATCCCTTGGGCGCCGCCGGCCAGTGTTTGCCCCACCCAGTGGCGGCTGTTTCAGGGGGGAGGGGGGCAAAACACGTGCCTTGACACGTGCCCCCCCCCCCCCCCCCCCCCCCCCCCGGTTGGTACGCCTATGCTTCATTCTGCTTCACTTGCCTTCCTCCTTCACCAGAGTGGAAAAGCTGAAAAAAAATTTCTGGTATTTTTCGAGGGAAGTACCAACTCCAGATCTAAAAATACTCCCCCATCTTTTTTTTTTCTTTTCTTTAATCGCAATATGATGATTTGTCAACTTTGAAGAAATACTGAGAGGGATAATCCGCTCCCACCAGAAACACGAGCAGACGATGCATCGCTCCGTTTGTACTGGGGGCGGCTCTCCCGCAGCCCTTTTCGAACTCTCACTACTTCTCGCTCGGTCAGCGCAAGTAAGGAGGTTAAAAATTGGGAGTTTTCGCAATTTTCTCAGTAGTCCGCGTTTTCCCCTCCGCTAAGCCCTCCGCAACTGAGAAGCTGCTACTGCGCCTGCGCGCCGATGGCCTTGATGGACTATTGTTAGCCGCGCGTGCTAAAAGCGTGAGCTAGTCGCTTTCAATGAAGCCGCGGTGGCTGCACGAGCGCTCGTGCAGCAAGTGCTCTAGCCAAGGCTGTCAAGGTTGGCCGCTCGCGCTAGCACAGCCTTCGCGGTTAGTCCATGCTAAGGTGAGATGAAGCTTTTTTTTTTTTTTTTTAGCTCGGATGAGCGAAAGCTCGCGCTGCAGAGCCCAGGCAAGGGCAAATACAGAACTCCGTTTTTTTTTTTTGTTTTTTTTTTTTAGTGCCCCCTCTTCTTCCCCCCTCCCCCCCCCCCTCCCCTTCCACTAAAAAAAAAAAAAAAACGAAAAAAAAAAAACAGACAAACGGAGTTCTGGATTTGGCGGAAAATTTATAATAATAATAATGATAGTTTGTTTTCCATGAAGCATAGTGGAGCAAAGGGTAAAAGCCTCAAAGCCTTCGTGTGCACCGGGGGGTCCACCCATGTCAAATTGCCCTCTGAGAAGGGGGGAGGGGGGTCGACTTGGTTTGGGGGGAGCGGCTGCCCCCGTCGTTCCCCCCCCCCCCCCCCTTGAATCCGCCCCTGAGCCCAGGGATCCTGGGTTCAATCCCCACCCCTGCCCGTTTCGATCTGGATGAGCATCGTACCGGCGTGCAATCGTGTATCACTTTTTTTTTTTTTTTTTTTGCAAGCGCGAGATGTTTCGGTTTTTGCATCGCGGCGGAGAAACGCTATTCTAAAGCTCTCTTGCGTAGCGTGCGCTAACGCAAGCGCTAAATTTAGCTCTAGCGTGCGCTAAAATTGCGAGCGTTATTCTAAAACTTGCTATAAGCACAATTTCTCAAAACTAGCGCTGAGTTTGGACACCGTGACTCTCAGTCGTAGTCCATGTTGAGCTGCACATTGTTTTCATCGACGCCACCGCAAAAAAACCTAGTTAACATTTTTTTTTTTTTTTTTTTCAAATTTTTGGGTTTGCGCATTGCGAATCCCCGCTGAATCTGTCGAGACCCCCCCCCGTTGTCGCGACCCACAGTCTGGGAAACGTTGACGTAAGCAGAATTTCGACGACGACCCTCGTCCGAAAATATTTTCTAGATACGTCACTGACGCACACGCCCAGGGGCGGATTTAAGCGCGAAACACACGTACGACCAAACCGTCCGATCCGACGTCCGACCGCGCAATACGACGGTCGGAGGCGAGGGTTTCCAACGCTCTCCGATGCTACGGAACCCCCTCGCCCCCCAAGGTCATTCCGGCAGTCCGCACGTCGGATCGGACGGTTTCGTCGTACATGTGTTTCGCGCCTTAGAGAGGGGTTTCCGGATGTCCTGACCCCCTCTTGACTTCTGCATGTGTAAAATTTAGGGCGTAAAACGAAGGAGAGGGGGAGGGGCTCCTAAACATATGGTACGCTGACCAACACTTGACACCCCCCCCCCCTTTCATGAAATTCCTGCATCCGCCCCCGACGTCATATTACAGCGAGGCTGAGCCTGGCTGAGCCATCCACGATCGAAATCAAAACTCGCGCTTGGGCGGCGTTGCCACGACGACACCTCCTCGTCGGCGTTTCTCGCGTCGCCATGGCGACGACGCTCGCCTGGCGTACCTAGGCGAACCGCGCCGGCGATTTCCGGCGGCGCTGCGCCAATGGGCGGCGAGCGAGAGCGCGGGGAAGCCGGCCGTCGGCGACCGATGTTCGCCATGGCGGACGGAACGGCCTCCCGCGTCCGGTACAACGAGCGCCTGATCGCCGAAGTGGAGCAGCGTCCCTCGCTCTGGGACAGCCGCAGCCCCAAGAACAGGAACGTGGTGACCAAGAACGCCGACTGGAGGCGGGTGGCGGCGGCCCTCAACAGTTCAGGTGGGCGTCAAAACGCGGCTCTTTGGGCGACTGATCGCCGAGCCCGAGTGCACGCTTCCGTCGCCTCCGAGGGGGGGACGGCCGGCTGAGGGGGGCTGTATCTCAAAACGTCCCATTCGCATTTGAACCTTGCACATTTCGTCCCATTCTCATTTGGTCCTTCTCATTTGAACCTTCTCATAAGATCCGAATCGTGTTTTTCGCAACTGGGCCCACTCTCATTTTGCCCGTTATCTGAAAACGTCCCACTCTCATTTTGCCCGTTATGTGAAAACGTCCCATTCGCATTTTGACCGTGCGCATTTCGTCCCATTCTCATTTGGTCCGCCTTGTTTGAACCTTCTCATAAGATACAAATTGTATTTTTTCGCAACTGGACCCATTCTCATTTCGCCCGTTCGAAATACGACCGAATGGCACTAGTTCGGCATGCTCCTAACGTCGTTATGCCTTCCCGGTTTTGTTGATGGGCCTTACCTTGCTCGGGCCCCTAACCTACCATCAGATATATGTTATATGTAGAGGTACGCACTGAGAATCGTACAATGACGCCCGCTTCCCTTCCTTTAAGCAAACGAAAAGAAAAAAGCGATGAACATTTAATTCGGAAACTTTGTTTGAACAGTGCAATAATCAATTTACGAATTTTCATCATTTTCATCTGGCGACCAGGCAACACCGCCCAAGTTAGTCACACCATGGTGTCCACAAACCACGTGATCATGAACGCTTTATCATTCTAGGCGCCCCCATGATCGCCCAAGCTCTCCTCGCCACGGTACGATCAAAACCACTCACGCAACTCGGTGATCCGAACGCTATTCTCGCTCTCGGCCTTAACCTTCCACCCTGCATGCGCCTGCGAGACGCTCCCGGGCGACGGTGACCACGGCGAGTTCGTCCCGCGCCGTCGCTGGAGCTGGTCGCCAGCGGGTCGCAGTCAAAACGAACAGCTTCCAACATCTCTGGATAGCAATCACTCTCTTTGTTGCTGCGATCAATGTCGAACACTTTGACAAGGCGAGCGATGCCGTAGACGTAATCGTCACGGCACCGCATGCTCGAAACGCGGAAGATAAACGAGGGAGCTGAAACTCGAGATGCCAAGAGGGCCAAGTCTGTGAGTGCATGCAAGGGGACGCCGCACTGGAGGCTGGCTACGTCACCAGCCTCCAGCCATTCGGTCTTTTCGAATTGGGCGGACCCGAGGGACCCGCAGAGAAATTCATTTATCCACAAAGCTATCATGCCATTTTTTTTTTTTTTTTTTTTAAATTAGCAGTGTCATAGGAATATACCATGGGTCCTAGCAGTGTAGTTATCTCGTATTTTATTTTTGGCGTGTCATAACCGCTTTCAGTAATAATAATAATAAATGTTGTCTAGATTTGAAACAATAATATCGCAGCACTGCCTGTGTCGTGGCTAACACCCCTTCGAGTGAAAGCTCTCCAACGATTTTTGCGCTTCCCGAATTATCAACGGAACATTCCAATAACTTGGCACTTTTGACCTGGGGGTTATGTTCGACAAATGTTTCGTTTCTCCTAAAAAGAAACGGACGTGACGGAAGTGGCGCTATCGTGTCGAAATGGTTAGAGGCTCAAATGACGAAAGTTCCATCTTTCGTGATTTGAGCCTCTAGCCCCTAGCCCCTCTAGATTATGGAGTTTGCATTGACTTTTTTTTCTACCTCCGCTACGCTCTCAGCAACGAAGGCGCCCTGCGCATGCGCGCCGCTGGCCTCGCCTGTAGAGTTCCGGGTCTCGTAAAGAATTGTGGAGGTCGTTCTGAGACGGTGGAAACGATCTACGCCTCGAGCGGAGCGAGGGGTGATTGCGGTCAGACGAGGTACTTTTGCGTGCACGTCAATCAGGGATGGGCAGTATTTCAAATACAAGTATTTGAAATACGTATTTCAAATACTTTGTGTATTTTGCATTTGTATTTAATTACAAATTGGGTAATGTATTTGACCTGTGTATTTAAATACTAAAACGTGGGTATTTCAAATACAATTGTAATTAAATACAATTTTGTGGGCGAAAATACATCCGTTATATTTATTGTCACAACTCATTTTGCTCATCCTAAGACGTGCCCAGAGCAGGAAGAAAACTGCGTTCTGCACTGAATGCAGTGTCTCTCAATCAAGCACAAGCATTTAGTGACTTTGTGATTACGATGCTAGCCAAGGGAAAGAATAGGTAGTTTGCACATGACGTCAATCCGCCATTTTTTTGTTAGTTTGTTTTTTCAAACAAATTTACTACTTTGAAGGATTACATCGCAACCGGTTGAGATGATATCAGCGTGGTAAGACATAAGCTTATGTGCTCTACGAATTTGAGGGGTCATGTAAATCCTTGGAATGCTCGAGTTTGACACACGCCAGATTGCTCACAACAACAAAATGGTGGGCGAAATTACGTCAGTGAAAACTCCCTATAGTGACGAAATCGACGTTCACAGGCAGACTGGCTAAAGAAGTGCCTGTGACAACTTGTGATGCTTTCCAGCCTGATTTTCATCCATATTTTTGCCTGGAACATTCTAAAGGTGCGGGTCGTCCAGATTTTCGTAGCTGGTGCGAGTTGCAACAATAATAAATTCTCTGGCTAGTGCTGCGCGTCTCGGTCGTCTCGGTTCTTTCTTGGTTTATACCAAAATGTAATGACGAAAAAAAGCTGCTTGAAGCTCTGTACTTTTCTCACCTATTACGTCCAAGCTGATTACATTTTTTTGTGATTATATTTCTATTACGTTACTAGAGCCTCGCACACTAACTCCCGAGTGTGCGATGCAAAATTAAAATGAGATACCCAGAAACCCGTTGCAGGTGCCCTGAAGTCGCTGACGCAAAATTTGAGTTATGTATTTGGAAAAGTATTTGGAGGAGACCAAATACATTTGCTTGTATTTGTATCTTGCACTTAAATGCTTTTTTGGAATTGTAATTATATTTGTAATTAAATACATTTTTGACGAAGTATTTTGTATTTGTATTTCGATACATATTTGCATGTATTTTGCCCATCCCTGACGTCAATTGAACAGACGCTGCCATCGTACGGAAACGGGGAGATGAGGCTTTATCTCCCGGCGTGCAGGTAAAGAGGTACAGAGACGCTGGAAAAACCTGCGTGACACGTTCCTGCGTCGGCTGCGAGACTCGGAACTGCCCCCGACCTCCAGAGACAGGGCAGCCTGCGTGCGATGGGCCTACTTCCACCAGATGATGTTCCTCAAGGACGTCCTCGATATACGCCCGTGAGAGTCTTCCAACCCTCCCCTTTTTTGTAGCCATGTTCCTCGACAGTAGATCAGATCACGTAGGACAAGTTTTTACTTTTTCCCAGTAAATTTTCCCAGTAAATTTTCAAAACAAGAACTACAGCAAGAACTTCTGCTGTAGATCTTGTTTTTTTTAGTGCATTGGGTGTTACCAACGTCGCTATTACTGCGCGTTAAGCGCCGTTCACGTACTTACAACTGAGTAAGACCGAGAAAGACCAGACCTGTTTTTAAGCCTCCTGCGACGTCTTAGGACCAGCTCCGCTGCAGCGCATCCGGTCCTAAGACATCGTAAAAGGCTTAAAACCCGGTTTGGTCTTGCGACCGAGTAAGACCGAGAGAGACCAGACCGGTTTTTAAGCCTCCTACGACGTCTTAGGACCGAATGCGCTCTGGTCCTAAGACGTCGTAAGAGGCTTAAAAACCGGCCTGGTCTCTGTCGGTCTTATTCGGTCGCAAGAGTGTGAACGGGCTTTTACTCGGTTGCATATGTGTGAACGGCGCTTTAGTGACAATCCCCTGGTTACAACAGATACCAAACGACAAGCGTGTAGAGCCGGGCGCCATTACCTGCTCGCTCCCGAGCAGTGGCGTGTTGAGTGGCGTCACTAGGGTGAGGGGGGGGACCGGATCGGTTGCAGCGCTCAGGGAGGTGTCGCGGCGGGCTACGAAAGAGGGAAGGGGGGGCGGGCCACCGCCCTGGGTACCCCTGACCCTAGTGACGCTACTGCTTCCAAGACACTGCGCCCTCTGGTTGTGTTTATTGCAACGTCCAAAACAAGATTATTATATCAAAGTGACCAGGTCATTTCGTTGTTGTCCTAGAACTGTTGGCACGTACGCAAGGAGGGTATGTGCTTCTTTCTAATTTACTGCTTCCCTATTGGTCAGTGACGTCGGAACAGGGGGGGAGGGCAGAGGGGGCGACCCTTCCCCCCCCCCCCTCCCATATATATTTCAGAAATTTTGAGTAAGAAATGCGGTGGAGGCAATAAAAAATCTCCCCCCCCCCCCCCCCCCCCCCCCCCCGAAATAGTTCCGACGCCTCTGCTACTGATCCAATCGTATCGCTTTGCCATCTGACTGAGCATCGAACCGGCGCGCTTTCGTGTACCGCCGCTGTCGTGATGCAGCTTACAAACGCCGGACTAGCGGTCGTACTGCACTGACTGAAGTTCTCAACTACAGCGTGAACGAGTGTCGCCATACTATGGCAGACGAACCTCTTGCGTATGGTAGGTAATTAGGAGGACAGAACATTTTTAAGGCGTCTTGTGTGTACTAGAGGGAGCTAGAGAGCACACAACCAAAACATCGTAGATAGCAGGGCCGTAATTTTGGATTCTTTGTGTACTTTGCCGAAGGCCAGCGCGGTGCAGAGGGTGGACTGTAGCGTTCGAACGGGGCTCGTGCTTGGTCAGTGTGTGCAGTTATCTCAGCCGAGCGCTGCCCCGGTAGGTTTCGTAGGAAATCCAACACTGCGGCCGTGGTGTTCAGGATGTGTTACTGCAACACCGCGTCATCCGTCGCCCCTGTGGAAGTTTAGACTATTTGAAAACTACGTTGCAGGACCGCTTCCAGCGGCTATGTTCCAAACCGCCCGAGGGCGGCAAGGACGGGCGCGGTGCCGCGGCCGGCCCTGGGGGACTCGTGGGACGTGGCCATCAGCACGGACGCAGAGGAGCCCATCTGCGAGACGATCATTGAGGTGTCCAACGAACCCCCGGCTGCGCCTTACGACGCCCCGTCGCCGACCGACCGGGTAGACCTGGACGAGCGCATGACCTGCGAGGTCCAGGTGGCACAAAGACCGAGCCCGAGCCCGAGCCCCAGCCCGGCGGCCTCCTCGACGGCCGAGGAACTGCCGCCGAAGCGCCGGAGGCTGGACGACTGGGACCACTTCCTCGTGTCGCTCAAGAGGCACCTGCGATGCACCCCCGACCACCTGGTGGGCAGCGCCCAGATGCACTTGCTCCAGATGGCGGCCACCTACGGCGCCGGCAGGACGCCGCAAGCTCTGATGCCGCTCGATTTGTAGCAGCTTGTCCGTTCTTGCAGACGACCGAACTGATTGCCTCCTCGCATTTGTTGGTGTGTCTCACAAAGTCGTTTGTCATCATTTCTTTGTTCAGAGCGCCTGCTCTTGGCTGGTGTGTGCGGACAACCGAACTGTGTGCCACACATCTGTGCATTTGTCTTACAATCATCTGTCTTTTTTTGTTTTTTTGCACGTTTATTTTTGGGTGCTGTGCGCAGACAGCCTGTGTGCCACGCGTTTGTTTATTTGCCTTACAGAACCACTTGCCATCATTTGTTCTTTTTGTTCAGCCTCTTTGCTCCCACGCATTGTTCATTTGTCTTACGAAGCCGTGTGTCGTCATTCTTCGTTTCATCTTTATATGAATCTGGACTGTTCATCGTGAGAAGGGAACTCAAGCGGAAGTGATCCCTCGTGTTTTAGTCGTCGTATAGTCGTGTATGTTTTGGCGGCTTTGCGCTGTGTCTAGCGCAGACATTGAAGGCACATCAGTGTTCGTGATTCGTGCGCTGGAAAGAAAGTCCTGAACTGCAGGACACCGCGGTGAACCGTTTGAGGCTGAAATAAAAGTGTTCAGCGTATGGCTGCCTACAAAAACTCATTGGATGTGGAAAAACAACAACCACGGAGAATGTCATTTGACAGTGGTCTTCTTCGGCATGAAATGTTTTCTAATGCTTGGTTCCACCATAACTCAGATGGGAGTCGAGGGCTGCACAAGCACGGCCATCAAAGATAGAACTGCAGGTAAGAGCTTCAGTTCCGCCTCCAGCGCAAGCTCCTACCTTCGACAGCGCTCCGCCGTCTCGTGCACCCCGAGCGCAGTCAAAGCACGGCGGAAGGCATGGAGCGCGTTCTGACAGAATGTGAACGCCTCGTCGTTCTTACTCTGTCAGTGACTACAGTCCCTTTGGGTGGCCGGCACCGCCACCTCGGTAGCGTTAAGTGACGGGTGAAAAACAGGCAGCGCTTCTACGAGGCTGTACGAGTCAAAAATGATGCCGATCAGTAGTATATCTTGAAAGCTATCATTCCCTTCAAAATGGCAATAATTGAACAGTCAAATGCCGTCCTTGGAATTCTGAACAGGCAACCTTTTCGTCTTGGGCGATTGACTTGTTCCTTCTTGCATGTTGTTGATGAAGTTGAAGCGAGCCATGCATGGGGGTTGTTCGTTTTCGGGTAAAACCCAATTTTACCCGATTTTTCCACCCCGAACATGTTTCAGGAGAATCGGGTTAAACCCAATTTCTCCCCGAATTCCATAACCACATAACCAACCTATTTATTTTTACGCCGCACGGAGTTTGCGGTGCACAAGCGCTAGCTAGCCTACCTCGGGACAACAGTGACCTATAGTTCATTTCGCAAGCTGCGTGCAGCACTGTGGACGCCACACGACTCTCCACCAACCGCCCAACGAGCGCGCCTAACTCACCGTGACATGCTACGGAGGCCGGCTGAGGAAAAGCGACGATATATGTTGGGGCCTACACTTCCGTCCCCCGCTGTGCAGGTGGAACCGCCTCGGCACGCCACTCGGCCCTGCTGCACGCAGCTTGAGAAATGCACTTTGAATCCCCCTTGGACCGCTGAGGTCTCGACGCCCAGCCTCTCGGGTAGCATGGCCATCTCGCTGGCGTCCAACCTTTTTCACGAACAACGTCCGAGCCAGTCAAGGCTGAACTCCACGGAGCGAATTATGCGACGAATAACTGGCGAACGTCGCCCGACGGCACGCTCGCTTTGCACGTGACGTAGCAGCCACTGTGTCGATTTCATGCGCAGAGCAAAAGCCGCCGGCCAAAATTCGTCGAATTTTCGCAGCATATTCGTCTCATTGAATTCAGCCTTCAGTCGTGTAAACATATCGGGAAAAGCTTAACATGTTTCTTCCATAGCGAAATATCTGATCGAAGACGATCGTCCCTCGAACGGTCAGGGTTTGTGTTGACACCTGAGGATCCCGTGGGCTTCCCTCGAAGCGACCGACGGCAATCGGAGCTGGAAAACCCTCGTGTCTCCCCGATTACCAGTTTGAAACTGACCCCTAATTTTAACGCGTTAGCATTAGAAAACTCGTAATACGCTCATATAGAAAAAAAATTGTGTATTATTGAGTATATTTGTAAATTTAACCCGAAAAAACCCGAATCTCGAAATGTTTTCACAAAAAAAAAACAAAAAAAAAACGATTTCTCTCCGGTAATGAGGTTGAAAAATAGCACCCAATTTTTACCCCCAAATTAAAAAAAAGAAAAAAAAAAACAATATATATATATATATATATATATAAACCAAAAACGAACAACCCTAACTATATTCAGTCCCCGTGATTCAGTCACAGGTTAAGAATGCAGTAGATGCCCAGCACGAGCCTTGGAAAACACTCGATCGTATGCAGACGCTTCCTCCCCGCGCGGTGGAATCTGGGATTGACCAGAGGCCTCGTGAGATTTTCCCTCCGGCCGGCGTTTTCTCGCTGCCTCCTGATATGATGCGTGAACACTCGGAAATAACGCAGAAAAAGGCCAGCATGAGCGACGGCTAACAATACAGATCTAGCAAAGCGTCGTTGCGCGTACAGCTTTCGCGTAGTTTTTAATGCGAGACCACTCGAGCCGACGCGGTCGTTTGTTCACATCGAGGGCTTCTCCTAGCGCACGCGTGCGGTTAGAGAAGCTGCAGATTTGGAGCTGTCAGAACTGGATTGGCCGGCGTCGCGCTCGACCTCGGCGCCGGCCCAATCGCAGCGCTCAAATCCCTCGCCGGCTTTTCCGTCGAGTGTCCAGACCCGGACAGCGCGCCACTGATAAAGGTGGAACCTGGTTAATTCGGAGCGCAAGCGCTGCAAACACGACGCGCGCGCGCCTTGTCGCGTGTTTGCTTTTCTTTTCTTTTTTTTTTAAATACTTGACGGGATTTTTTTTCGGCTAAAAAAAGAAAAAAAAAAAAAAAACGCGCAACGACGTTTCGCAATTTTCCAATGCACACCTCGGCCCTTAAAGTTAGCTAAATCAGTTTGAATGAAATAAATAACTCGGACCACTAGAAAAAATCGTGCACTTTCGTAAGACGGCTGGTAACAACATCGCACTTGGGTAGTAATTCAATTGCAGTAATTGCATTACTATCATTTAATTAATTTCTTCGTAATTATAATGAAATACTTTCGGTTAAAAGAAATTGTAATTTAGTTACTTTTTAGCGTCAGTAATTTCGAAATTTCGGGCACAATTACAATGACTGTTTCCAGGCTTTCAGGCGCCGACGGAATCTCCCAGAAATCCTGAGCGCTCGCACACATAGACACGCGTTGTTTGTTGGCTGCGGGCTGAGAGACAATCCTCTTTGGAGCCTACATGGACAGTGTGGCGCCGTCTGCGGTGCGAGCAGAAAGCAATAGCGTGTGGGACCTCCCCTTTGAGGCTGTTACCACTTAGAAACACGAGAAGGTTCCTCGGGTCCGGATAAAGACGTGTTTATTGACTGCAATGCCAGCACGCTTCGCTCTTAGACAATGAAAAACCTGGGCGCTGGCTCAATTGCCAGTATCACCCGGTCGGTTTCCCGCGCTGCCGCATTAGACAAATTCACGGGAAGTCGGAGGCCCACAAAGAAAAACCGAGCTCCGTAGAGCCAGGGCCTCCGCCGACGAGAGCCCCTCCTGGCACTCCCTCGGGGCCAGCTTATGTAGCCTCGGAGAATGGACGCGCCCGGGGAGGCCACTAGCAGTCGCGTCCATTATACTTCTCAAGGGTGTGCCGATGGCGCGTTCACCCAAAAGGGCAAGGGAGAGCCGGCCCCTTCGGGGAATTCGGCCTCGTGGTTCCTTGTATCCGGGAGGCCGACGCCATTGGTGACGACGACTCCCACGGCCTGCTTGAAGCTAGGCCTGAATAGGGATAGAGGGGACCGCGTGGTTCCCACAAGCGTAAACATGCCAGAATATTGAAAGACACAAATTTGAGCTTCAGCTTTTAGCCGAGGTTGGGGATTTTAATTGTCTGTGAAGTTTTCTTTCTTTTTCTACTTTTTTTGTCCGTTTTTTACGTCTTTTTTCAGTACTGTCGCATATTTGTTTCTTTGTATTACTTTCAAGTTTATTTCTTCTCGGTGTTACTTCAGATATTATTTGCATAAGTATTGTGGAGACTGATCTCGCAGCTGGGTATATTGTCACTAATGATTCGGAAGCCTCGATTCGGTTCTTATATATTTCTGAGTCATTACAATTTCAACTCAATGTAAATAATTCGCAACACGAAACGTTTTTATGTGAATGTATTCTTGTTCGCGCGTGTTAATTGTAGCTACGCTATTGAAATATGCACACATGACTAATTGTCGCATTTCCATTTGCCTGGCTAACAAAAGTGTGTCAACCCTATTTTATTTTACCGATCTGGCGTCTTAGGGTATATAAAGTAATTTATAATTATTTATTGAAAATATAAAAAAAAACGCACGCCTTTAGTACCCCAAACTGTCAAGTTCTATGAATAATTTAACAAAATTCACAAGAGGTCAACACGTGAGATTGATACAGCAATGCTTAAATGCTGAACCGGAATTCGGATTTCCCAAAATAAGCTTGCAGAAGTGTTCAACAGGGCGCCATAAACCACGGAACATCGCTCATATAGCCATATCTCGAACGGATGGACGTTTGAGGTTCTATGGCCCAAGTCGGAGTTCACTGTAGCCCAAGTAGGGTCGCTCCCAGAGTAAGTCATTGTAAAGTAGTTGCATTACTTTTTAAAAGTAGATTGTATTTGTAATGAATTACTTTTTACGTAGCAGTAATTGTAGACTACTTTTGGAGCAAAGTAATTGTAATTAAACTACATTTTGGAAGTAAATGATAGTACAACGTACAGTTAAATTCATTCTCGCAAAACTCACCGTTTTTTTAAAGTTTGATGCAAGTTATTGTGGACACACTGTATAATTATGAACTCCGTATACAGATGCCCCTCAGAAGAAACCAAATGTAGAGGGCCGTCGTCTCTGAGGCATGACTTCGCACGAGAGATATTTATCTCCAGAGAAATGAAAAAGACAGGAGAAGGAGCAGGCGGTGCAGAAAATCCAAGCGAGCATTCGCACGACGCATGTAGTTGAGTCGCCGAGGTCTTTTCGCGAACCTGCTGGCGACCTCTGGAAGCTCACCAAACAAAAGGCAAAAAAAAAAAAAAAAAAAAAAAATGAAAGCCGTTTACAACAGTTGTAATGCCGAATTAGAGCGCATCCCTCGAGGAGGAGGAGGGAAAGGTACAGAGAGGGGGCTATGCCCCTCCTCCTCTCCTGTTCGCCCCCATTCAGGGGAAAATTTTCCGCTAAATTTAGCGGAAAGAATTCTCCGCTAAATTTAGCGGGAAATTTTTCCGCTAAATATAGCGGGGAAAATTTTCGCTAGATTTAGCGGGGAAACTCTCCACTAAATTTAGCGGGAAAATTTACCTATCATCCACCGCGCGGTTACGCCGACGCCGCTCAATCCAGAAACGGGCGCCTAAAAGCTGCGCTCTAAAAGAGAGAAAAAAAGGCACCACACGTTTCATAATCCTCCCCGAAAAGC